CTACTACTTCCATCACTACTACTACTTCCATCACTACTACTACTTCCATCACTACTACTACTGCTATTACTACTACTACTGCTATTACTACTACTACTAATACTACTACACTATTTCTATCACCAGTTTGCCTACATGTGTCCATAAACAACATTCAATGATATGACAAATATATTTCATCATGTATGAAAGGTTTATTTTCAGGCTTAAACATTAGATAAATAAAGGTACCCCATGCACATTGGTCACGAGAAGAGTACATGCTTTGTGATGGACATGCTTGATTGCCCCATGTGCCATATGTTTGTGGCGTGACGTCATTGCCGATTATCCGCGGTAAAGTTAATTTATCGCAGACTTATGTGGATATGCACGTGTGAGGCGGCGGGTTTTCAAATGTTACCTTTCGCTTCGCCACTAAGCTGTGTTAGCTAGACAATTTAATCAAGCAAAAACGGAAAGCATTTCGAAAGAAGAGAAAAATCATGAATTCTAATGTCAAAATAATGACGAAAACATTTCAAATATAACAGTTTTTCTTCAGTCTGACATTTCACTGTCTGCTTCACTTTTGATATCAATAAAATATAGCCATTTAAAGAGGTCAATACATGGTTTAATCAACCTGAGAAAAGATGTGGGCCGAGGACGATCGAAGATGACTGGATATATTATATAAAAGCTGGTTATTTGATACATCACCATGTACAAACATTTTGATATGTAGATGCACTAAGGTTGTTAAGTTGACAGAAAGAGAGTGACAAAATACATACATCATGTAAATATCATATTATCATATCAACACACGGCGAGTAAAACTTATATCAACACGCGTAACGTGTGAGTTAGACAAAATGTTACATGTGTAAATATTAAGTAAATGTTGTTATATCGATAAATGAACAGTGTAAAGTTTTCTTTTGATTGTTCATTGATTTCCCCCTCCTCCTCCTCCTCCTCATCATCATCATTATCAGTCGTTTATGCTGTTGGTAAAACGGTCAAGTTGGCAAAAATAAACAGTTCTTTGTGTTCGGTTGATTAATTCAAATACCTATTGCTGAAATGTCAAACATAACATCGATGGTTTAGAATATACAGACATGACAGAATCATCACACCCGGGAGGGACCACGATAGCCCAGGAAGCTGTGAAATGGACCAATTTGTACTGACATGGTTGCGCTCTTGAGCAAGACACTCACCTAATTGCTCTGGGCAACATGCGATGGACATCCCGTATCTTGTTCAGTGAGGTAGTCATCAGATCTGAGGTATGTAGTTCGACTTCCTTAATCGTGGTGGTTTCTGCTTCTTGGGAAGCTGAGGAACGGGTCGGTCTTTTTCTGACGTGGCTGCCATGACATGTGAAAGGCCTTTGGTATGTTGTTCAGTGAGGAAGTCACGAGCTACTACAAGAGAACTCTCACCTATAAATGACACTGACTGTTCGTGAGATGATAAAACCAGCAAGGTAACGAATCATACATGGATAGACAACAAAATTCTAGAAGACACCAAAACAAAAGGAGTTACATTATCACGTGTTTGAATGGGGTGAGCGTTTCTTTTTAAAAATCATGACAGCATAATCAATATAACTTGAACAGAAATGTTGACAGAAAACTGATAACAAACTCATCGGCCAGACAATACCAAACAAGTATGACAGAAGGGAGACTACTCTTATAACACTGTTATTGTATTAAACTCACACAAGTAAGAAGCAACTTTTCATACAAATTTAGATACAGCAGTGCCATATAATGAATTAAACTACATCATACAGCTGTTCCGTCTTTCCAGACTCATCAATGATGATAAAGAGTAGATCGTTGAGAACGAAAAGGTGACTGTGTTCCTCTGTAACACAAAAAATCCTTATGTTTCAAATGTTTTTTTTTTCTCGTAACTTGATTACACAGATGCTTGTTTAATGTATTTTGAGTCAGTGTCTCCTTTTGGAAGCTGATGGCTCTCTAGACAACAAATGGAACACCCGCTGTATGCCACCCAGCAAATTAAATCAAGTGCCTTACCCAAGAACATAATCACCACATCGGTACAAACCACACATCCTCCCACTGCATACTGTACTGACTGTTTTTCCTATTCTCCTCATCTGTTGAAAGGTCGTACTAGAGAGTATTAAGCTTGACATCTTTACCAATACTCTATCTCGGCCACATTTCCTTATTGTATGTGATGTCACTTGTATATTTAAACAAATTATGAAACGTAGAACAGATTTATTATGGTATCGAAGACAGATATATAAAATCCGTGTTGTACCACCTGTCCACTCTGTATCACCAAAACTTTGATAGAAAGAATAGGTTTTATTGATAATTTTGTAAAATAATTCTCAAGATTCAGGTCATATAAAAAAAATACCTGGATGTTATAAGGAAATATGGATGACATTGATTTCCCCAGTATCAGATCAATAGATCATGTAAAAAAGAGAATATCACAAACATATATCTTAACCAGTCGATATTTACATTCATGATGAGGGGTTTTATACGTATGGTAATCCAAACTCATTAAAAAAAAAACCTCCAACTGTATTTTTTCCTCCGTGGTGAAACGTTTTTCTGTAGTAGTTAATGCAATTAACGTGATATTTTCTTTATAATCGTATGGGACGAAACTTTGAAACGATCTCGTATCACATGTTATACACGAGGTTTAATTTATCGAAGAACAATGATCCTATTCCCCATCTCGTATGACTTGTTATAACTTTGAAATGTCCCTCGGTATGCAACCAAAAGTAAACAGTGCGCGCGAGGTTTTACCAAAGTAAGGTTTGCTTGTCGCCTTCTCGTGATATTTATCGTACTGACAACACTTACTATTACATCATAAAGCAGACTGACGTAAGAAGATGTGAATAATGACATTACTTTACCTCACTGTTATAACTCAATGCCGGCTTTGATAAAACTGGAGAGGACTAGGTTTACATCTCTCAAGTAATAATATACACATATTTCGAGATACCGAACTAAAAGATTGCCACATACTGTACAGGTACACGATACATGCACCATACCGCGATGAATCATAATTTAAATTGTGGACAACAACAAAGAGACAAGGATATAGTCATGTTACTCCTAAACTGAAATCATAAATGTAATAGTAATTTGATGGATGGTATTTACTAAACTGGTCTTATTGCAGATAATTTCAGCAGAGATACTTTTCAATATAGGGTATATATATTTCATAGCGCATTAGTGCCGCGATCTCGCCGTTTCCATGTGGTGCGCACATCCGAACATGGTGAAGGACTCGAACGCTTTGAAAGTGTAAGAAGCTACATAGGAATGTCTCTTAAATTGATAGTTACGGTGATGTTTTATGGCAAGGGAGATAGAGCTTAGCATCACTGACGAGTCCTAAAAGGACGAAATGCTGTATATTAAATTTATTATTTGGGTCTTCTGAATCTCACTCTTTTGGCCCTTAGAATCACTGACGAGTCCTAGAAAACGAACTGATATATGATGCAGTTTAATTCATTATTTTGTTCTACTATTTCTATTCTGTCTTTTATACAATCGTTATCGTCTTCGTTCTCTTATCACCTTACAGACACATTCTATTCTGATGCAATCAAAATCAGTTACCATATGATGCCGGTTACAGCTATCTGAAATAGGCCTTTTAAGATTCCTTAACATGTATTCAATGGCCTTGCGTTTTCAAGCTTTTATTATTGAACATTTCCAAACCGTGTTGCAGGCCAATGTAGTCCCACACTGGTCCTTGATTTCCTTGATAGTTACATGCCATCATCTCGATCCGATATCTGTCTGCTTTGTCATTAACAATTCACATAAAAGTCAACAAAAATGAACAAGAACACTCTTGACAAGAGATCCCACAGGGATCTTGGCGCCCACCATTGTTTTATCTTTATTTGTTCTTTGAAAGTTGGATCTTTTCTCGTCTTTGTTCTTACTCTTAATATAAGAAATTTAAACATTAATCCTTTGCAGAAAAAGCGATGATAATATTTGACCACCAAATCCAAGACAGACATCTGGAATTTGGATCTGAAATTTGAGAAAATTCTATGCAGCAATTCTCAAGAAGTAGCGATAACAAACTTTCAAAGTCAAATTCAAGATGGCCGCTTTCTGACATTTTTAAAATCTAAGATGGCCGTCTGTCGGACATTTTACTTTTCAGATCAGTACCAAAATCAAGCGGGCATAACAAGGGATCAACAGGAACCTACACGCGAAAACTGAAAAATGTCTATGAAGTTTTTATCAAGAAATAGAGAAAATAATTTTTTTTTTACTCAAATTCAAGATGGCCGCCATTTTGTTTTGCCGATCACACCTAAAATCAAACGGGAACAACCTGTGACCAAGGGGAGTCTACACATGAAATCTGAGAATGACCTATGAGGTAGTTCTCAAGAACTAGCGATAAGAAAAACTGTTTTACGGACAGGGGAATGAGGGACAAATGGACAAGGATGTAGGGCGATTTGAATAGCCTACCATCTGATGATGGTGGGCTTAAATGCCAGCAAGGCATGAAAAACAATTCAGTAGAAATAACTCAGCACTGCAACATCAGTAATTACATACCGCTGGGAAGGAACAAGTCCAAGTATTAAGTTCAGAGACATGGGTGATGCCAGATTGGTATTAGATACCTGTAACATTTGTTTGATTCTGTTGGACATTTGATATAGCCAATGTACATCTAAACCTGTTAAAATATCATGGTTTTCTTACCAGGTAAGACCTTTTGTGTGTTTATCATTGTTTTCCACTGTCATCATTTAAAGATATCTGTTTGCTTTATTTTGCCATTGTTTTCCACTGTCATCATTTAAAGATATCTGTTTGCTTTATTTTGCCATTGTTTTCAATTGTCATCATTTGAATACATTTAGGTGTCTTTATTTTGCAAATGATTTTGTCAAAATCCAAAGTAATCCATCTTTATTTATTTTATTGTATCACAGAAGGTCTTGCATTTTTATGTTACAAATGCTAAAATGAAGAAAAACACACTAAGCTTATTAAAAAATACATAATTAATGGAGATCAGCACAAATTATCATGAAATTCACTACTGTTAGAATGATGATTACAATGACAAGTATGTTTAAGGTTTACATTTCAATCTTTTTGTCAGAATTACAGAAAAATTACAAAGTTAATGATGTTGATATAATCATGACTGCAAGTAAGTGACATCCATCAATGTTGTTTAATTTCATATTCATATATATTATTGGTGTCTTTGTAGGTTGACAGAGGTCATAGTGATTCCTTGAGAAATATTCTATTTCTGTGTGTGATATGAAGCTGGACGTGTTTGATGCTCATTAGTTTGCTTGTTGGTTCCATTGTTGTGTACCTTGTTCTCATTTAAGAACATGACATAATGTACTTGGATTGACCAAAATTTACATGGTGGGTGTTGTTGATGAAGAAGACGATGCTTAATCTTCCTGAAACCCCTGGTCTTATTCTCCATGTACATTTTCAGGAGTCTCCATGTAAATCTTTCTTTTGTTAATATTTTGCCTTTGTTGTATTGAATTTGAACCTGGATTATGATTGTGCTGACATGTTGGTATTTTCTTGCTGTTTTTCATATACAAAAACAAACCAAAACTATTGAACCGATTACAAAATATTGTCATTTTTGCTGCAAACAAATGAGATGAATTTGTACAAATGTTTTATCCTTTGGATACAGATGGTGTAGAATGAACTGTGGCAATCACAGACAGGGTATACAACATTGGAACCAACAGGCAAACCAGTGACCTTTAAACAAGACAAATTAATTATCCAACTCAGCTGTATTGCCACTTGTCATTGAATGACAGGTTACCTATGTTACTGTATTTATCTACCTGTATTAAGTCCATCCAACATGTACTATCACGCCTGCTGCTTGACTTTTAGTCAGATCTTATGTATTGGTTCCAAAAACCTAATGCATGAAAAATTATTAAGAAACAAAATCCTCAACTCCTTACTAAATAATCCAAATACATTAATACTATATTAACTGCAATATGTTCTATGGAAGGTCAAAGGTTATTTCCATTCAAATAATGTTTGGCTTTTACGTCAAAGAACCACATAAGAGCATACATCATGGCAACAGGTTTGTTATAGCTCATGTCAGTGATGAAGGACTTCCCATCACAAAGTGGTATCTCCACCACCTCTATCAGTTCCCCCTCCTCTGCCACGCCCCCTCCAGCTCCTACCCTCATCTGGTCGGTAACTTCAGCAAAGTAAAGATTCTGTAGTGCCCCTGTTGTGCCTACTCCACTCCTGAAATAAAGGAGAATAACATTACAAGAGTCTGAGGAATGTGGAAAAATTACATGTCTTGTGTTCATATTTTGCCCTATTTTTATTGATTTCGAGTTTGGATTATGCTTGTGTTGATATGATGGTATTTTCTTGTCTTTTTTTTTAACAACTAGTAAGTTAGCAATGCCATTTTCCTATATGAAGTGACTTTTTCTATGCTTACTAACTGTTGCTGATAACCATATTTAACATATTTCATAATATGAAGCTTTATTCTTTCTGGGAGCAGCGTCTAGCTGTATTTATCTGTATGAAATGATCACTGGTTATATGATTTATAATGACAATTGTTAACCATATTACATGTATGAAATGATTAGCTCTATGACTAGTGAAGGTAGTTGTTATCCATAGTGACCTGTATGAAGTGACTAGTTCTATGCCTTATAAAGGCAGTTGTTAGCCATATTGACCTGTATGAAGTGACTAGTTCTCTCCCTTATAAAGGCAGTTGTTAGCCATATATATTGACCTGTATGAAGTGACTAGTTCTCTCCCTTATAAAGGCAGTTGTTAGCCATATTGACCTGTATGCAGTAACTAGTTCTCTCCCTTATAAAGGCAGTTGTTAGCCATATTGGCCTGTATGAAGTGACTAGTTCTATGCCTAACAAAGGCATTTTTTAGCCATATTTACCTATATGAAGTTACTGGTTCTATGCTTTCTAAAGGAACCTGGTAGCCACACTCCTCCATCACCTCTGCCTGTGCTATCCTCTGGTTGCTAATGTCCTTATCCACTATTCCAGCACACAGTTCATAGGTCACACCCATGTTTGGAGGATTCTCAGTAGTCTTAATTTGTCTACAGCCATTTTCTTCTGTCACTTTGGAGCAACTCAAATATACAGCTGTAACAAATAACATTTAATGTCAGGAAACTAATTTAGTTTTAAAATCTCTTCACATCTATTTACACTCATAAGAAAATTTGATCTCAGCAGTCACTTAAATTCTTGAAATTTAAATTCAACAAAAAAAAAACAATTTCTGTACTTTTCATCACAAAACCTAGGACATAGCCTCGAGTACTGAATGTTTGCCAAATTTTGACTATCATTGAAAAATGTAAAAAAAAAAAAAAAAAAAAATTCACCATGTATTTGTTATTCAAATTCAACAAATTTTTGTTCACAATATTGAATTGTACAAATTAATATTTGCAGAAAAGATTTGAAAGTCCATTAACCTGAGCAGTGACTAGAAAAATAAACTATGAAAATGCCTTGGATACAAATTCTCTATCACGTATTTGTGTACCTGAAAAATTTGAATAAATTTTGACATATCTAGTACGATCTATCTCTTTCTACAATCAGTAGCAGTAACTTCCCTGATTTGACAGATCAATGTACCTAGCTCAACCTCATGAACAATTATTTCAATAATTTTAATAGATCACAAAAATCTTAATTGATATTTTGAAAATTCTGTCAAATTAGTCAATCAAAATAGTGTTTAAGCATAATATTGAATCTCAACATATTACATACTGACACAACAACAAAACAGTTCTCACATTCTGTTTAATTGATGACTCTACCCACTTCCACCCTTAATATGAAGAACCGGATATCATTGACCGACAGCAATACCTATACACTAAGATTACTACATATTACTTATTTATCATTTACTTAAACTTAAGAACTGAAATTTAAGTAACAGTTCACCTACCTGGACGGAATTGTTTAACAAATACAAATACATTTCTGGTCTTGTTGAAGATAAGGATTACAACACTGCAAGAGAAATGATTACTGATATCAAAGTTCACATAAATTCTATGACTTAATTTGTTATCTTTAACTTGTCCATCTAAAAACTAATCAATTAACATATCTATCTAATGGTGAAAAGATTATCAAATAAATAGGAACACAACTTTACAACATATAACAGCTCTTTACATATTACAGAAGGACAAATGTAACACATTTCTAAACATTATATCAGTTTATTTAACATTCCAAGCAAATCAATAAATCAATATATTTTTGTTTATGATGTTATAATTCATTCCATTGCTTTAATTCAGTTTAAACTTACCTATCGTGTACCTGAAGAGCATCCCATACCTTGTCTCTACCATTCTATAAATAACCAACCAGTCTACAATCATTCCGATAATAGAAGTCAGTGGCATATTGACATATCATGCAAAATCTTAGAAATAAAAATAGATAATTTTCCTTGTAGATGTACAAAGTAATCTGCTGTCAATTACTGAGTTCCTCTCAATATTTCACCAAACCACAGTGACTGCTATTTGGGCAGTTTCTACTTTATCACCTTGTTCTCTGCCAAGGTGTTTATCATCTTTTCCTTAAAAAAATGAAGTGACCTTGACCCTTATTTACAGTTGTGAATTGGATATATGTTACAACACATTTTTCTGATTTAAGAGAAAGGCCTGGAATCTTGATATCCCCGCATCTTGACAATATATGTAACCCTGGTAAAATACTAGCCGCAATATACCACTCAGCTAGAGAGAACTTCTCTTTAGCTTGATTGGTTGAGCGTCAGACTAGTAAGCCAGGGGTTCTGGGTTCGATTCCAAGCGGAGGCATTGACATAAATAATGAACTCTGTTAATATATTCTAGGAATAATGCTTGACACAGTTTGTGAAAAAAAATATCCTTGACCCATCATAGGATTTAATTCATTAAACTAGTCTATGAACTTCTTTGGACAAGCCAATATATAATCTTGATATTTGGTCAATTTGTTCAAGAGAAAAAAAGATACAATACGTTTGTAAAAAGAAAACATTATCGGGTCAAAAATTTGTCAAAGCATTCAAATGCCTGATTTTATTTAAACAAAGGTCCAAGAACTGATATAACAACAGACACGTCCTTTGCCTTTTGTTTAAATATCTATCTTGTGATTTCAATAACAGTTTTTAAATTAACAAATAACTCGTTTTACTCGATTCGCCTGGGGGAAATTTATACGGTAGTCTAGCTATTATCAAATTAACGTTAGGAGTCAAAGTGAAACTAGGGCATTTGCAGGTGTCATATTTTGGTGTTTCCTTATTTAGGCTAGCACAATTATCTGGCGATCACGTGACAAGTTCTTACCTGTTTAAACAACATTCGCAATGGCTTTAAAAATCTGGATTTCTCACAAGGAACAATGTTCACGTTTGATATATCTTCCATTATGCTTCTTGTTTTTAAAATTGCTGAAAGTTGAGTAATTATCTGGCGATAATGCAAACTCATGCAATACAAACGTCAACAAAACTGAGATCAACGGTGTTCGGCTAAATTGTTGTCGAAATTTTAGTCCTAGTATATTAACATCAAATATATACTTTGCAGCTCTCTTTTTCATTGCTTAATAACTTGTCTTGAGAAATCATCATTATATTTCATGGCCAAAGATAATGCTACACTGAATGATGCGATGCAATAACGTCAATTGTCGTATGAGCTCGGAACTATGTATTATGTACAATATTGTCAACACACACAATTCAAAATCAGTGAGAAGCTTGAATTTGAAATAAGACTTCGCAAAATGACGAAGTCGGGCCTTTCGAAATAGAAAATAGAACATAAATGATGGCATGATGGCACTGAAATCAAATGCTCCAACAAGAGCATTCATCCAACAAGTATTAGTTAAGGTAAGCTGCCGAGTAAGCCAGATAAAATGTAGAGATTTTTGTCAGAAAACTGTTTGTCCCTGGTAAAAATCGTAATGCGCATTCGTCTGCAATTTTTCATAGGATAGAGTAAATGTAGAGTTATTTCATAATCAAATTAAGTATTAATGCTGATATGATTATCCTATTTAGAAATATTGAAATACTCAATTACGTATGATTTACAATAATATGATATTAAAGTCATGGTCTGTTGAATATGAGCATGCATTTAAGTACAACAATATGCAATACAGTAGAGAAGCAGCAATGATGTAGCAATTATTATAAAATGACACAAATTAACTTTAGTAGTGGTCTGGAAAATGTCTGCTTAAATACATGCAAAGTTCAACTGTTAAATATAAAGAAGAAAAAAGAAAATATCACATGTCAAGTTCAGAAAAGGGGAAAATGGATAGACTGGCAGTTTGGAAAAAACAATGGAAGATGGTATTCCACCCAAGAAAGTGTAAAGTTATGAATACTGTATGGAACCATCAACACTATGTGTGGTCATTTTAGGATTAATACCAAGTACACTTAAAGGAACTAAATGGTTCGATTTTGTTATTTTTCCCTATGTGTTTTATTTTGGGTAAGCGTTGTAGTACTTAAAATTTGATTCTTTGCAAAAGTATAACACTCTCTGAGAGAAAATGATAAAGATTAATCAGCTTCAAATTAACGCTAGTCAACACTCGCTTTTGTGCCTATCACCCATTTAAATATCTGTTTAAAATTGTGTACTTTCTGTTGATTATGATTCTTTAAAGTTTGCATAACCATTTTATTAACAACATCAAAATAATGAATTAAGATTTATTCAAATGAATTTTTTTTGCTCTATCACATGTTTAGTGTGAAACATTATGGTCATTTTACAAAATAGGAAATGAAACATGACTTGCAAATTAAGTTTTGGCTAGTGATATAATTATATAGAGTAAAAAATTATATTAAAACGGCGGGTTAAAGCGAAGCTCTGAAAGGTCACATAATGGACTTAGGTATTGCCAATCAAAACAGGGTTTGGTGGTAAACAAAACAGCGAGTGTCAGCTAGTGTTAGTTTGAAGCTGATAATCTTTATCAATTTCCCTCAGAGAATGTTAAAATTTTATGAAGAGTCTAATTTTAAGTTTTTCAGTGCTTGCCCGAAATCAAATGCATGGAAAAAAATAAGGAAATCTAACCATATAGTCCTTTGAAGTAATTAACACATAATTTTCACTTTAGTAAATATTGATTTCTTCTTCAGTGGTTTTAGATATATTTTTCCTAGTAAAATAATTTCTACTCAAGTGTTTAAGACTCAAATTTCACTTCAGTAGCATTTTTTGAATTCAAGTGTTTTAACATACCAATTCTACTTTAATGGATTTTGTGATTTTTTATCAAACATTTTCAAACACAATCTTCATTTAAGAAACATCAAAAAGCCATAGAGACTTAAACATGAATATGAAATAAATGGAAAAAAAGCAACTTTCATTTACTGGTTGACAAATTCCTAAATTTGTTTAGATATATGAACAAATTTAAATCTGTGTAAGCAGTAAGGTGACATTTTTTAATATTAAATACAGGGATGTGTTTGTCATCAAAGAGCATACTCTAAACTGAGGAAAGAGAAAAGAATGATCAGAATGAGATAATACACGCATTCTGATTAGTCAAGATGAAATTTATAAAACATCACACATTAGAGGGTTTCATTTTGGGTGATCCAACAACTGATTTATAGGTTAATAAGGAAGGGAAGACCCTTGATATCTTGTGAACGGAAGCACATCGATAACATCATTAACTTCTTTAACACTTTAGTAAAAATATCTTGCACAACTAATTTATTATAAAAACTTTTTCTTGTTTTCTAATTTAATGAAATTTGGGCAGTCAGAAATAAAATTTGCTAATCTTAACAACATATTATATCTGAAAATTAAGCTGGTAACCATGGCAACAACCATCAATAAGTAATTTTCTGGCATAAACATATACTTAGGTCTCTAATCCAGTAGTTCACAAATGATAATGATCTAATGATAGGAAATTAATATTTTTCAAATACCGGTATTCAACATTCTGGTTGCTATGTTAACATCATTATTATGAAAACATGATTTTTATCAAAAAATTTTAAAAACTTGTTTTCCCATGTTTCTAGATATGTAGGGGTTGCTTACCTAAAAGATGACTGGAAAAGGGTAAAATTCATGTTGAATCAAAATGACAGATTTTCTTCAGTTCCATGAAAAATTCCTGGGAATTCAAAACAAGTACATCAAGCTCTCTGAAGACATGATATTGAGTGTGAACATTTCAAACAAGCTACATAAATATTGGGAAAACAGTTGATATCATAAGAAATATATGTAATATGTGTTGTGCCTGGTATCCTGCACCAGAAATAAAACCTAATACATATGTAATAGGGAGGAGTAATAAAAACATCCTGCCACTGCTTGGGTTCACACAGCAACCCTTCAGTCTCTATCCAGACACTACTGCACAACTGAAGGGAAATTGTCACTAGCCAAGACTAATAAATTGACCTGTATTCTCCACTTCTCCCTCCTTCACAAAGTCTTTGACCCCAAATATAACTACAACCCATGTTCAGTACCTCCAAGCAAGAATCTCAGTCTCCAATAGGTTCTGTCTTTGGAGTAGTTAACAGCACATGTACAAAATCTGTAAAAGGAAGTAGTAACGAAAAACACCCTGCCACTGCTGGGGTTCAAATTAGTCAAGGCTCACCTGTACTCTGAAATTGTGTTATCTAATCTATTGCTATTTATGCTGTTTACAACACTATGTTCAGTGTAACTTGTTTTTTCAACCTATAAAAAATTAACATCCATGATGTCATTATAAACTTAGGTTATTTTATAGTTTCAAGTAAAATCTTTTTAATATATTATGTAATTTTGTATCATAAGTGAGTACAATTAACAGTGTTCCCCTTGACTTTCAAAACTGGGGCTACAGAATATGCCAAACAATATATCTATATATGAGAGCGCTTGAAAACTGGAGGTACAGGCCTTGAATTTCACCAATTTTAGGGAAATTGTATCCTTATTCAGGGTTGTGGGGAACATTGAACTAAAACAGAGTTTCATGCCATTGTTTGTTAACTTCATATAGGCACGGTTCTTCATATCTTGCCTTTAGTTTAATGCCCCCAAAAAAGTTTCTTTGCTATCAAAATTACCTACTCTGGCTTTTGTTTGGCTTAGATGTTTTTGAAGAAGTCCTTGTAGAAATATGGACTCTAGGCCTATCAGCTTCTTACTTTATGTGCAAATACTGTGATCTGACACATTTCAACACCAGACATGAGCAGTTAAAAAGTAGGATTAATTTGTCTCTTTTGCTCACTATATTTACAGGAATGGCTAGATAGTTGCCACAAAGGGGAGCTTCTTGCTGCTTTAAAGCAGCATTGGAAATGCTATGTACTGGTGGTTCTGGGTCATGGTTATGACCCTGCCAAAGAAGATCGCTTGGCAGAAAAGTTTCTGTTTCGGCCTATGGAATTTTTCCTTTGTAATGGTGACCCTGAAGTCAAGTTTAAGGAACTCAAGGAAAAAGATTGCCCGTCCCAGTTCTGTGGTAAAGTGTTCAAGTATGGGGAGCCCACATACTCATGCAGGTAGATTCATTATTTTATAGTGGTATTAAGTCAATGTGAACATTCTGTTAACTAGATGCAGCTAATTATATATACATAAATAATGCTTTAGATATATGATAGAGTCACTCGTTCTCAAGTTCAATGCTTGTTTTTTATGTATAAGATGTCATGAACTTGTACATATAGTATTAATATTGTTCATATTAAAATAAATGTTGATGACATCGTTATCGATTGATAAAAAGTCTTGAGATTAAAATTTTCTCTGGAAGGAACGCTAGTATAAGTATGTCTTTATTTTGGTATGTGTTTAATTATATAGCTCTATTGTCATGGAGATAGTTAGAATTAAATTCATAGTAGGTATTCCTGTTAGCATTATATATTTACATACTGTACAATAGAAACACATTTCAGAGTTATGTTTGTACCTCTTTATTTCAGGGATTGTGCCAATGATCCAACATGTGTCCTATGTATAGACTGTTTCCAGAAAAGTGACCATAAAAAACACAGATACAAGGTATTGACCTATTTGTGTGTCATAGTTGTTCTACAGTTGGTATGGCATAGTACATAACAGTGAGGTCTAACTGAAGCATCATTTTAAAATATTTACATTTTTAGCCCACCATCTATTCAAATAGATGGTGGGTTATTCAAATCGCCCTGCGTCTGTGGTCCGTGGTCCGTCCGTCCGTAAACAATTCTTGTTACCGCTATTTCTGGAAAAGTGAAGGATGGATCTTTCTCAAATTTCATATGCAGGTTCCCCTTGGTCCCTAGTTGTGCATTGTACCTTTTTTGAACTGATTCGCATTCAAGATGGCCGACAGGTGGCCATCTTGGATTTTGGAAGTAAAAGTTTGTTAATGCTATTTCTGAGAAATTACAGGATGGATCTTCCTCAAATTTCATATGCAGTTTCCCCTTAGTCCCTAGTTGTGCATTGTACCTTTTTTGAACTGATTCGCATTCAAGATGGCCGACAGGTGGCCGTCTTGGATTTTGGAAGTAAAAGTTTGTTACCGCTATTTCTGGAATAGTACTGGATGGATCTTTTTCAAATTTCATATGCAGTTTCCCCTTGGTCCCTAGTTGTGCATTGTACCTTTTTTGGACTGATTCGAATTCAAGATGGCGGAGAGGTGGCCATCTTGGATTTTGAAAGTAAAAGTTTGTTACTGCTATTTCTGAGAAATTACTGGATGGATCTTCCTCAAATTTCATATGCAGTTTCCCCTTAGTCCCTAGTTGTGCATTGTACCTTTTTTGGACTGATTCGAATTCAAGATGGCCGACAGGCAGCCATCTTGGATTTTGGATTTTGGAAGTAAAAGTTTGTTACTGCTATTTCTTGGAAAGTACTGGATGGGTCTTTCTCAAATTTCATATGCAGTTTCCCCTTGGTCCCTAGTTGTGCATTGTACCTTTTTTGGACTGATTCGAATTCAAGATGGCGGAGAGGTGGCCATCTTGGATTTTGAAAGTAAAAGTTTGTTACTGCTATTTCTGAGAAATTACTGGATGGATCTTCCTCAAATTTCATATGCAGTTTCCCCTTAGTCCCTAGTTGTGCATTGTACCTTTTTTGGACTGATTCGAATTCAAGATGGCCGACAGGCAGCCATCTTGGATTTTGGAAGTAAAAGTTTGTTACTGCTATTTCTTGGAAAGTACTGGATGGATCTTTCTCAAATTTCATATGCAGTTTCCCCTTAGTCCCTAGTTGTGCATTGTACCTTTTTTGGACTGATTCGAATTCAAGATGGCTGACAGGTGGCCATCTTCGATTTTGGATGTAAAAGTTTGTTCCTGCTATTTCTTGGAAAGTACTGGATGGATCTTTCTCAAATTCCATATGCAGTTTCCCCTTGGTCCCTAGTTGTGCATTGTACCTTTTTCGGACAGATTCGAATTCAAGATGGCGGAGAGGTGGCCATCTTGGATTTTGAATGTAAAAGTTTGTTACCGCTATTTCTTGGAAAGTACTGGATGGATCTTTCTCAAATTTCATATGCAGGTTCCCTTTGGTTTCAAGTTGTGCATTATACCTTTTTGGACTGATCCGAAATCAAGATGGCTGAAAGGCAGCCATCTTGGATTTTGAGAGTAAAATCTTGTTACTGCTATATCTGAGGAAGTCCTGGATGGATCCTGCTGATATTTCATAGATATTGGTTTCCCTTGGTCCCTAGTTGTGCATTTTACCTTTTTTGGACTGATTTGAAATCAAGGTGGCCCACAGGCAGCCATCTTGGATGTCGACAGTAATACAGCACAAGCATATTGTCCATTATCCACCTGTAACTGACTGCTATCTAATAATACTTTGGGATCTTTTTCAAATGATATTTGCTAATAGGTGCTTAATAAAAATATCTTGTGCCATCATTGAGTGCATTCAATGAAGACCAGTTCATTAACATTTACAACACCTGTAACAAACAAAAAAAATAAACAAATCTTCAAGAACTGAAAACAGATCCTCAAATGGTGGGCGCCAAGATCCCTCTGGGATCTGTTGTTAGATGTTTAAGTCAGACATCATAGAGCTGATGAAAATGTTTATAGGGGTGGCTTTCACTCCTCAGCTGCCTTTGTGTAGATATATAAAACACCACATACAGGGTTGTGGGAAGGGAGGTCAAATCTAAGTGGATAAGGCGTGTAGATATATAAAACATATATATGGGAAGGGAAGGTCAAATCTAAGTGGATAAGGCGTGTAGATATATAAAACATATATATGGGAAGGGAAGGTCAAAGCTAAGTGGATAGGGCTTCATTCTGTAAAATTTAGAGTTGGATATGGACCTGATTCCTAATGGCAAAAACTTTATAATTTTCCCAATCAGTGCATTAAAATTCTCAAAACAAGGGTGGTTTAACAAATTGTCAAAGAATATAGATGATGCTGTCTAATGTGCAATTTGTTGAAAGTCAATCAGCGGTGGCTTCATGTGTGATGGTTTTGTGTTTTGTGTATTTACTTTAAAAAAGTGTTATGATCAGCACAGGAGAAAAATAAAACCTATGAATTTTTATTAAATATGAACAAATTTATTTTACTATCTTTCCTCAATTATTCCCTAATTGAAAGTTAGGGGCACACTTTCCGAAGTAGTAGGAAAAAGGCCTGTATGTTAAAACCAGCAAACCTTGATCTACAGTTTACTCATATTCTTATTGATAGAAAGCACAAGTATATGTATGCTGAGATGTTTTACTGATTTCTATATAGCTATCGGATATCAGAGTTGTTCATTTTCCATCATTTCTAAACATCATACACATAACATGTTACTTTGGACTGGGAAAACTCAAAATTTATGTTTTGTTTTTAAATGATCATTGTTTCATTTGATAAGTAATAAAGGTGATGTAATAAGGAGAGATTTGATTACAAGAGCAGATTCAGTTATATCTTTACACTGTAGTCTGGTACATCTTACTTTCAGATGAGTACTTCTGGGGGAGGAGGGTACTGTGACTGTGGGGACAGTGAGGCATGGAAGACAGCACCTTTCTGTAGTAACCACCAGGCTAAACAGCATGATACCTCACAGGAGGTTTGTATCTTCTAGTTATACCTGTGTAATTGTGGTAAAAATACAAATGGTTGTGCTTCTGTTGTTATATGCTAATCTGATGAGATATATGATGACAGCTTAGGAAAAGATTAACGAAAGATAATTTTTCACAGAATATTTTTTAACTACTGGTTCCTTGTAGAGGCATATTCTAACCAACAGAAAGTTGTTAAAGAGTTTCCAGTAACCAGTCTGAAATATATTTTGTCCTTTTCAAGTTTACTGCTAAAAATTTTGGGTGCCATAATGTAAAGGTAAAGCATGTCTAGAAATTCTATGAGTACAGGACTTAGAACTTGCATCTTGATTTAACGCTGGTTTCTTCAGTGAAAAGAAGGTTTTATTAGGCATTCTTGAAAAGATGGAATTTTTCAAATCAAATATTCTAACAGACAAAATGTTCTATGAATGACACAAATACACAAATATATTTTATGTACATTGATGTATAGGCAGATGTTTGTTTATTATGGTATGAGAAGTTGAAAAAATTCACCCTAAAAGATATTTTGAATTAATCTTTATTTTCTTAACATATTCCAGAACCCCATGGAGAGGCTGCCAGATGAGCTAACAGACAGGGCAAGTGCCCTACTTATGGCTGTGCTACGTTACACTATGGAGATGCTTACATGGGAACAATGTGACAACCTGCCTCCAGACCTCCAGCCTGAGGGAGAACTGGAGGACAGCTATATCACCATGCTTTTCAACGATGAAGTGCACACTTATGAACAGGTTTGTCACCTTGCTCCCCGCAAGTGTGATTTGAACCAGAAATGATACCCTCTACCTTCCTAGTTGTTACCTCCCTTTATAGCTACAAAATATGTGTTTGTGACATAGCTTTATCTTTTATTATTTTTATATCCATGGGCCTGATTTCTGAATTTTCAGATTTCCTTGGACATTTCAGTTGGTGTGTTGAATATTCCAAACAATTGTGTAGAAGATTTTGGACAAAAAATTGTATTTGAAAAGCAGGTTAATAACTATCGACTTATGCCTCATTTACGATTCTTAGTGTTAATTTAAACATTTATAGGCATGGACACTATTTTTCTAATGGTTATGTTTTACTAGTAAACAAATACTGATAGGCTAAAATAATTGGGGAAAATGTACAAATGTGGGTCTTTCTGCTACAATTTGCTGTTACTCATGCCAGACCTTGCTCACATTGACCCAGGTGATAGTCGCACTGCAGAGAGCTGTGGATTGTACACAGAAAGAGGCAGTTGAGTTTGCTACGACTGTTGACAGAGAGGTAATTTTCATGCAAGCTTTTCTCACAAAAAGATTTTTTTAAAAAGAATGATTATGTTAGAAATCAATGAGTAACTACACTGATGATGAATAACAATTTGAATGGTTCATTTTTATTTTTTGTTTTGAAATTTTACAAAATAAGTTGTAAATCTCATCTATTTTAACAGGGAAGAAGTAATGTGAGAAGTGGCAATTTTTCTTCATGTGAAAAAGCCCGTAACATAATTGAGGTAAGGGATACACCAGAATCACTGATGCACAATCTATTGGAATTTATCGTATAACAGAGGTGCACATGCTGGTAATTGTACAATGTATATATCTGTGATAAACGAACAAAGTCTTAGTTATTCTTTCAGATTAATACTGAAATCTTGACTAACGTTTACTGCAGATTCAGAAACCAAATCAAAAGTGAACGGGCAATTAAATCCAAAAAATTTTGTTAATAACTAAACTATAAGTGTACTGTTTCCAAAGTAATGTGGTCTATATACACTGTTTAGGCATGTTCTGGTGTCTGATTCCAAAGTATTAGGCATGTTCTGGTGTCTGATTCCAAAGTATTAGGCACACTCTGGTGTCTGATTCCAAAGTATTAGGCATGTTCTGGTGTCTGATTCCAAAGTATTAGGCATGTTCTGGTGTCTGATTCCAAAGTATTAGGCATGTTCTGGTGTCTGATTCCAAAGTATTAGGCACACTCTGGTGTCTGATTCCAAAGTATTAGGCATGTTCTGGTGTCTGATTCCAAAGTATTAGGCATGTTCTGGTGTCTGATTCCAAAGTAATAGGCACACTCTGGTGTCTGATTCCAAAGTATTAGTCATGTTTTGGTGTCTGATTCCAAAGTATTAGGCACACTCTGGTGTCTGATTCCAAAGTATTAGGCATGTTCTGGTGTCTGATTCCAAAGTAATAGGCATGTTCTGGTGTCTGATTCCAAAGTATTAGGCACACTCTGGTGTCTGATTCCAAAGTATTAGGCACACTCTGGTGTCTGATTCCAAAGTATTAGGCACACTCTGGTGTCTGATTCCAAAGTATTAGGCATGTTCTGGTGTCTGATTCCAAAGTAATAGGCACACTCTGGTGTCTGATTCCAAAGTATTAGGCATGTTCTGGTGTCTGATTCCAAAGTAATAGGCACACTCTGGTGTCTGATTCCAAAGTATTAGTCATGTTCTGGTGTCTGATTCCAAAGTAATAGGCATGTTCTGGTGTCTGATTCCAAAGTATTAGGCACACTCTGGTGTCTGATTCCAAAGTATTAGGCACACTCTGGTGTCTGATTCCAAAGTATTAGGCACATTCTGGTGTCTGATTCCACAGTATTAGGCATGTTCTGGTGTCTGATTCCAAAGTATTAGGCGCACTCTGGTGTCTGATTCCAAAGTATTAGGCACACTCTGGTGTCTGATTCCAAAGTATTAGGCACACTCTGGTGTCTGATTCCAAAGTATTAGGCATGTTCTGGTGTCTGATTCCAAAGTATTAGGCACACTCTGGTGTCTGATTCCAAAGTATTAGGCATGTTCTGGTGTCTGATTCCAAAGTAATGTAGTCTATTCTACACTGTTTAGGCATGTTCTTGTGTCTGATAACAGTAAGAAGTCATAATTTAATCAAATTTCTAATATCATCCACAGCATAACACGTCTCGTCATGGTAACAAACCCCTTAAGGTACAGGTGATGCACACCATCGTGGTAGCCCATCAGGCATTTGCCTTGAAAATCATCCAGTGGTTGCAGACCATCATTGGAAAGTCAGGTAATTTAACATTCACACTAAGTCACAAATATCATAGTTTAAATATTGTTTGATGCTTAGCATATTTATAAAATCAACAATGTTATTATCTTAGTAGTGAATTGTCTGTAATACAGTGTCAAGATTTTGTGTTTTATCCTTCCTATGTTTGTTTTTGAAATATTATTTAGACACCATATTATGTGTAAACTGATGCTTTCTCATACATACAGAATTTAACCCTGATTCCTGGAGCAGCTAGATGAATTGATTCATTACAGGTTTCTGATTTGTTGCCAAAACTCTTTTAGATCTTTTGCAGTATTATATATGATGTGTGTTTTCTTTCCCTAGATGGCTTGCGTCATTTATTCTGTGTACTGAGCATGCAGCCCCAGGAGGATGGCCAGTCTATCATGGAGAAGTTACTCCTGATTGACACACAACTGTGGAAGGGTAAGGAGCTCGCACCATCTGTTACCTCAGTCACAAGTACCTGCAGGAGCAATGATCATTGAATACACTTATTCCATCAATGAAATTGATCTGACATTTGATAGTAGTTTAAAATGTTATCAGATCACAGAGTATTTCGTGAAATGTTGCTGTTATCTTGAGAATTATAACAGATATTTAATTCTCTGTTGTAGTGGCAAGGGTGAACAACCACCAGCTCATTATGGCAGGGTAAGTAGACATTAAACTGTTTTCTTTGTCAATGGATTCAGTTTAAAATATAGTAAAAAAATATTGTATTCATTTATTCCTATCTAAATCATTATAGCTGTGGTAAATTATCATGTCTTTTCTGTGTTAGACCTCAGTCAGACTTAAAAATACTTATAAAACATATATTTATATATTATAATGTACAGGCAATAGATACTCTGATACTATCTCATAAACATATTCTATAAATGCAGATACATGCATTAATATTTTTCTTGACTGAGAAATATGGGAGACATGTGTACTGATTAGTTAATTGGTCTACAAGATTTGTAGTATTTTTGACACTTTATGGTATAGTAGAGGACCAAGTTGAGTTGTAGTTATACTGGGAAATGTTAACAAATGTGTAACCTATTACAGTGTGTTGATGGACCTGGAGTGTAAGAAACAGTTTGCCATTCTCTTCACCAAGGTAAATACCTACACTATCTTTTCTGTGCTTTACTTTGTTGAATTTATCAAAATACATTGATATCAGCGTGGATGTAATAAACTACTTTTGATTTCAGATGTTAAGGTAATGTAATGTGTGCATCAATTTTAACTGCCAGTAGGTGTTGCTATGTACACTGAATATCACTTTGTCTGACTTGTATGTTAACTGTACTTCTTACTAGGTTTTTCAACAGAAATCATGGAAGGTTTTGGAAGATTATGATTTTAGATCTAATATTGTTGATCTTCTATTTTTATTTCTTAATTGATTTACTCGTATATTTTGCATGATCCTTTCAGTGTGATGTATAAATCATCTTTTGAATGAAAGTCTATCCTACAAAATTTTTAGACCAGAATTGATCTGGTTAAATAGATATCTATATTATAGTCTCTAGATGCAGCTGACCATCCACAATGTGTGGAATTTTCAATATTTATTTAAGGCGATAAAGCTTGCAAAAGAAAATACAGAAATCAAATCAAAATTATATCCTCAGGCTTTATGGAAATATGGTTAAAATTTGAAGAGACTTATAAGATATCTAGATGTGATGTTACATCATAGATGTACCATATTTATTCTAATAAACGTGCAACACCCCCTCCCCTCCCCTATTGTATGACTTACCGTGTTGTAAAATAAATCTTTATGCATGTGCAGTTGAAGTCCAGAATATACTTTTTACAAACTTTAAACCAAATATTTCTCAAGGCAATTGTGAAAAAAGCATAATATCCATTTTCAAAAATGTAAATGTGAACTCATAAATCTAGTGTCCCAGACTGATATTAGCTGCTGTCATCCTTACTTTCACTTTTTCACCAGCGACCAGGAATAACACAGGTGTCACTTATGTCAAGTGTGAACCTGTTATTTTATATCAGAAACTTCCTTGAGTGAGTCAAAATTTCAGTAGAAAGAATTGCTTTCACTTTTGACACTAAGTAAAAGTAGACATTTGACATGCATGCTTAAAAAAAACCCAACTAAGTGATGAAATAGGGGTACAAAATGTGTCGAGATAGTTCTTTCCTGTCACCATTCTTTTTCTTTTAAGTTTTTATCAATATAAAATTAATAGGATGCTCACTTCTCTGGCAGCGCTTGGATATTTTGTCTGTGTTTTTAAGTTTCATATTTATTTTGGTACCAGTCCCATTTTCGTTTCTTGTCCACATTGCAGTGGCATGTTTACTGATGCGGGTCACTTTCAGTTTGAGAAGACACATCATTATTTCTTCCCAAACAGTGTGATGAGTTCAAAACTTCAATATCTGAATTAATTCTAATCATATTTATTTGTTTGATAAAACATGAGAACCACAGGGATCTTGACATTGTTTCATTATTTGACACAGCTGACCTTGTATTATTTCTTACACAAATACTGTGTACCTATGTTAATACAAATGTTATTGTTTAATTACAATTTTAATTCAGTTTCATAACAGAATTGCCAAAGTGTTTTATAACGTTTCATATACTCATGGGAAACCATGCTGTCCCTGCAGTCCATTTCTTATATTGTTACTATTTAGGAATGTGTCAGCCTACCATCTGAAAAGTTTTCATTTAACACACCCTCTTTGAAGAATTTTACTTCCTAGGACAAATAGTAAATAAAAATCTAATCACTTGTTCTTGGAACTGTTTTGTTGTCGTGGCATTATTAATGACGCCCAAGTGGCGCCACCTACTGCTTCTGTTATAATATGGCAGTTCAGTTTAACTCACTGTTGTTCTAATGTCATGTATAGGGTAATTTGATTTTTAAATGCTCTATGGAAATTTGAGGGTATTAAATGGTAAATATAAGGATTGGTATTTTATGCACACCAAGCAATATCAAGTCACCCTTATGTAAATATAGGTTGATACATATGCAGAGAAAAGAAAATGTTATGGTCACACTCTTTGTGTTATTCCTTTTTGAATTACACGTTATGATGGTGTCCAATACATGGGGTAAAGGCATGTTTATTTTGATAACTTCTTCAGTTAAAGTTTGTCTTGTCATTTAATGTTATGACCATGTTTTTTATTGATTTATTTTCAATTTCGGTGACAATATTTGTTTTTATGCATCTCCTTGAGATTAGAGTATAAATTTTGGTTTTAACACAAGATAAATTTTTATGGATTTATTGATTAACAATTAAGAAAAACGAAATTAGTTTGAAAAAAACATCAGCATCTTATTCTGCTTAAAATTTCTAGCTATTGGTTTACCTCTGTTGAAGGAGATGTCTAAGAAGCATGATATCATATTTCCTCCTGCCTTAATTTTTTTCCAATTTTCTTTGAACTTTTAACACTAACCACAGGATGTTAGTTGCTTATTTTTATGACATTTGCTGTGTTGATTTAGAAGGATTTTTACAGGAAACGAGTTACCATGCATTTAGATAACATGATGTTTCTCTTGTGTCTTGTTTTCTATATGGACTGAAACAATTATTTAATTACTAATTTGAAAAATATAAGTTTTCTGTTATAAAGATATATGAATGTTTACCTAATTAATGTGTGTACTGTTGGACATACTATGCTAGTTACCATGAGTAATGATACATGGTTAGTTACTATGAGTGATGTTGCCTGGTTTGAAACGGTGAGTGATGTTGCCTGGTTTTAACTGTGAGTAATGATACATGGTGAGTGATGATGTCTGGTTTGTTATGGTGAGTGATGTTGCCTGGTTTTAACTGTGAGTAATGATAGATGGTGAGTGATGATGTCTGGTTTGTTATGGTGAGTGATGTTGCCTGGTTTTAACTGTGAGTAATGATAGATGGTGAGTGATGATGCCTGGTTTGTTATGGTGAGTGATGTTGCCTGGTTTTAATTGTGAGTAATGATACATGGTGAGTGATGATGTCTGGTTTGGTATGGTGAGTGATGATATCTGGTTTTAACTGTGAGTAATGACACATGGTGAGTGATGATGGCTGGTTTGTTATGGCGAGTGATGATGTCTGGTTTTAACTGTGAGTAATGATACATGGTGAGTGATGATGCCTGGTTTGTTATGGTGAGTGATGATGCCTGGTTTTAACTGTGAGTAATGATACATGGTGAGTGATGATGCCTGGTTTGTTATGGTGAGTGATGATGTCTGGTTTGTTATGGTGAGTGATGATGCCTGGTTTTAACTGTGAGTAATGATAGATGGTGAGTGATGATGCCTGGTTTGTTATGGTGAGTGATGATGCCTGGTTTTAACTGTGAGTAATGATACATGGTGAGTGATGATGCCTGGTTTGTTATGGCGAGTGATGATGTCTGGTTTGTTACTGTGAGTAATGATAGATGGTGAGTGATGATGCCTGGTTTGTTATGGTGAGTGATGATGCCTGGTTTTAATTGTGAGTAATGATACATGGTGAGTGATGATGCCTGGTTTGTTATGGCGAGTGATGATGTCTGGTTTGTTATGGTGAGTGATGTTGCCTGGTTTTAACTGTGAGTAATGATACATGGTGAGTGATGATGCCTGGTTTGTTATGGCGAGTGATGATGTCTGGTTTTAACTGTGAGTAATGATACATGGTGAGTGATGATGGCTGGTTTGTTATAGTGAGTGATGATGCCTGGTTTTAACTGTGAGTAATGATACATGGTGAGTGATGATGCCTGGTTTGTTATGGTGAGTGATGATGCCTGGTTTTAACTGTGAGTAATGATACATGGTGAGTGATGATGCCTGGTTTGTTATGGTGAGTGATGATGATGTCTGAATTGATATGGTGAGAGATCAAGACTCGTTTTAAATGAGAGTAATGATAGATGGTGAGTGATGATGCCTGGTTTGTTATGGTGAGTGATGTTGCCTGGTTTTAATTGTGAGTAATGATACATGGTGAGTGATGATGGCTGGTTTGTTATAGTGAGTGATGATGGCTGGTTTGTTATAGTGAGTGATAATGCCTGGTTTGTTATGGTGAGTGATGATGCCTGGTTTTAACTGTTAGTAATGATACATGGTGAGTGATGATGGCTGGTTTGTTATGGTGAGTGATGATGCCTGGTTTTAACTCTGAGTAATGATAGATGGTGAGTGATGATGCCTGGTTTGTTATGGTGAGTGATGATGCCTGGTTTTAATTGTGAGTAATGATACATGGTGAGTGATGATGCCTGGTTTGTTATGGCGAGTGATGATGTCTGGTTTGTTATGGTGAGTGATGTTGCCTGGTTTTAACTGTGAGTAATGATAGATGGTGAGTGATGTTGCCTGGTTTTAATTGTGAGTAATGATACATGGTGAGTGATGATGGCTGGTTTGGTACCAAGAGTAACGATGGTTTTTAGGTTGCCTGAGCCGAACTTTGACCGATTTCAACCAAATTTGGTAGAAAGCATACCTTAGTGAAGGACATATGAAATTATGTTGAAAAAAGTGATTATGTCCCCTTTGGGGCCCGTAAGGGGTGTGAAAGTGGCCATATGTAAAAACCTTCATTAAATGACTACTTCTCAAGAACCAGTTGATGGATTTTGACCAAACTTTGCACAAAGCATCCCCATGGGAAGCCGCTTCAAGATTGCAAAGAAAAAGGGCGTTGCCCCAATAGGGGCCCCATTAGGGGGAAAAAGGGGAAACTTGATACGAATGTTCTACACAAGGTCCTGGCAAGTGTTCGGGGCGATTCAAAATCCAAGATGGCCACCCTGGCCTCTGTTTGGCTAAGACATTATGGACTTCCTCTCAAGAACCATTGGGTGGGTCATGTTCAAACTTGGTACAGATGTTTTACACATGGTCCTGCACAAGTGTTGTTAAATTTTTGCAACGTTTTAAAATCCCCAGATTATTGACATATATTCCTCAGGTGACCGTTACGGCCCCTTGGGCCTCTTGTTACTGTGAGTGATGATGAGTGGTTTCTTACTGCGATGATGCCAGATTGATAACTGAGTGATATGTCAGGTTGATAACTGAGTGATATGTCAGGTTGGTAACTGAGTGAGGATGCCAGGTTGGTAACTGAATGAGAGTAACTGAGTGAGGATGCCAGGTTGGTAACTGAATGAGGGTAACTGAGTGAGGATGCCAGGTTGGTAACTGAGTGAGGATGCCAGGTTGGTAACTGAGTGAGGATGCCAGATTGGTAACTGAGTGATGATGTCTGGTTGATAACTGAGTGATGATGTCTGGTTGATAACTATGAGATATGATGCCTGGTTGGTAAGTATGTGTGATGATGCCTGGGTGGTAACCATGAGTGATGATGCTGTTGGTAACTATTAGTGATATGCCTGGTTGGTAACTATGTGTGATATGCCTAGTTGGTAACCATGACTGATGATGCTGTTGGTAACTATGTGTGATAATGCCTGGTTGATAACTATGAGATATGATGCCTGGTTGGTAAGTATGTGTGATGATGCCTGGGTGGTAACCATGAGTGATATGCCTGGTTGGTAACCATAAGTGATATGCCTGGTTGATAACTATGAGTGATGATGCCTGGTTGGTAACCATGAGTGAAGATGCTGTTGGTAACTATGTGTGATGATGCCTGGTTGGTAACCATGAGTGATGATGCTGTTGGTAACTATGTGTGATATACCTGGTTGGTAACCATGAGTGATGATGCCTGGTTGGTAACTGTGTGATGATGCTGTTGGTAACTATGAGTGATATGCCTGGTTGGTTACTTTGAGTGATATGCCTGATTGGTAACCATGAGTGATATGCCTGGTTGGTTACTTTGAGTGATATGCCTGATTGGTAACCATGAGTGATGATGCTGTTGGTAATTTTGAGTGATGATGCTGTTGGTAACTATGAGTGATATGCCTGATTGGTAACCATAAATGATGATGCTGTTGGTAACTATGAGTGATATGCCTGGTTGGTTACTTTGAGTGATGATGCTGTTGGTAACTATGTGTGATGATGCCTGGTTGGTTACTTTGAGTGATGATGCTGTTGGTAACTATGTGTGATGATGCCTGGTTGGTAACCATGAGTGATGATGCTTGGTTGGTTACTTTGAGTGATGATGCTGTTTGTAACTATGTGTGATGATGCTGTTGGTAACTATGTGTGATGATGCCTGGTTGGTAACCATGAGTGAAGATGCTTGGTTGGTTACTTTGAGTGATGATGCTGTTGGTAACTATGAGTGATGATGCCTGGTTGGTAACCATGAGTGATGATGCTGTTTGTAACTATGTGTGATGATGCCTGGTTCCCAATGCCTGTGCAAGGCTGTTCACATAATGATACCTGGTTGAACACCTGCTGCCTGCACTAGGATGTGATGTTGCCTGGCTACCTATGATACTATGTGTTGCCTGTGTTGACAGTGTTACAGACAATTGATGCGTGACTTTACGCGGGACGATCATGACCACGATGTGTGTGTAGCCTCCCTCTCTGTGCAAATCTTTACAGTAACCAGTCTGGTAGGTTATATGTGGCTGTTTCCCTGGATTGTATCCTTGTTGATGTAGACTGGTTATCTTGATCTGACACACACAACACCAGGCAATGTCTAAAATTATTTTCCTTCATCAAAAACAGAAATTACAAAGTGTAAGATCAGAACTGTTGAAGGATAAAACTGCAAATAGGTTTCCACAAATGGCATTAAAATATTTGTCAAGCCACTTATCCAATGATCAACAATGAAGAGCCATTGATTTTTTCTGTATATCCCTTATCACTTGTTGTATCTGAATGGATACATTTACACTATACTGTGTGTGTTATGTGTTGACCTTGGTTTGTATAAGGTCAGATCTTCAGACAAATTAGCCTACATCATCTAGTTGTGTGGTTTTTTTACAGCCCTGAAGAGCAGTACTTCTGTTACATTACCCTCTTTTCAGTATATTATTCAAATCCATATGAAATATGCTCTGCTTTTTCTTACTTTTTAGCATTACCCAACGTTGGTGAGGGATTTTATACGGGACGACCACTATCGCTCAGTGTCCATTACTTCTCTCTCTGTACAAATATTTACAGTCCCAACATTGGTATGTCAATTCAGCATGGCTGCAAACAATCTTGTTTGGAGGCCAAAGTGCTCTGTAACCATATCAATCATATTTTTAAAGACTTTGATAGCAAAACATCATTATGTGGGATTTTATATTTAGATAAGTATTATATGTAAAATCCTTTTCAATATTGGAATGCAATTACTGTTTTAAGTAGTGAAAAATGTGTGATATTACAGCTTGGGGACACAACATATTGATCAAATTGAACATTAGATTATTGTATTTCTCAGGAGATCAACCTTAGGTTACTGAATTTCTCAGGAGATCAACCTTAGATTATTGTATTTCTCAGGAGATCAACCTTAGGTTATTGTATTTCTCAGGAGATCAACCTTAGGTTACTGAATTTCTCAGGAGATCAACCTTAGGTTATTGTATTTCTCAGGAGATCAACCTTAGGTTATTGTATTTCTCAGGAGATCAACCTTAGGTTATTGTATTTCTCAGGAGATCAACCTTAGGTTATTGTATTTCTCAGGAGATCAACGTTAACTTGTTGAATTTCTAAGGGATCAACATCAGGTTTTTGAAGAATTTTCCAAGGAATCTACATTAAGTTATTTAATTTCTAAATGGATCAGTATTTGTTTTTTTTTTAATTTCTTAAGGGATCAACATCAGGTTGTTTTTTTTAATTTCTTAAAGGATCAACATCAGGTTGTTGAATTTCTAAGGGTTGGGATAAATAGGTTTCCATATTCATATAGCATAGATAAAGTTGATAATGATAAGTCTCAGCTGATCCAAGCATAGATGTTGATGAACTTAAGTAGAAACAGCATTCTGATTGGAATCTGCACAGAAACCAATATTGTTTTATTCCATTAGATTCAAAATTCAGAAATAAGATGATTGCTTTAGTGATAATTCAATGGATGATATTTCATGGTAATTAACTGGTCGTCATAAATCCCACATTGATTATACTTCATCTGTAGGGTAATAAATCACATTTCATTCACAAGGTATAGTAAGATCCCAATTCATCATCTGAGGTAAAGTTTCACTTCATCCTCAGATCCATTGTATGTTAAGTCTAAGGTATACACATATTGTTTCCACAAGTTTTATTGTATATATTCTGCATAAGCCCTTGGCCAGCACATAACCTCTCACTGGAATACTGCTGGAAGAGACTTATTATATCACAGTCTTATCACAGGTGTGGAATTTTACTGCACAGAAACATATAAAGATTTGGCCTATTAGCTCTAGGCATGGGCTTGTTGCAGGATATTACAGTAATTTCATACATCATTGCATGCCATATTTATCAAAGTTTACAAAGTATATAACTGACAAGATGATTATAAGAGGGGTTCAGTATAACAACATATTGTTACTCATCTTTATAAATTAGACATATTTGATTTTCAAAATTGGTTCACTATTTCTGTAGTGTGTGTGGGGAATTAGTTCACATCTTTCTATCAAAGATCATAGTATAGATTATACCTGATAAACTATTGTTTCAGGTCCTTGTAGTCCATTTTGATTTTTTTTTAATCCAAGTTTCCTCAGTTTTATTAGTTGGTAAGAGGTAGGTCACACCTGTACATTTTCCAGGTCCATCAGTTAGAGGTCTTTGACATCACTAAGTTTATATTTTGTTCTAAGACTCCCTATTTCTGTAAATATCATCAGGAAACATCACAAAGTGCAGTAAATGTGTTTTGTCAGAAGAGGCTGTATTACTCTTGTTATAGGTGTGTTGAAATTCAATATCCTTTAAAGTTTAGTCCTTCCATTGGTTGGTTTATGACTTATCTTGTTGGCTGCTGTTATTTGAATATTATTTTTGATTTTTGAAGTTCCAAGTTGTAGAATGTTCACCCAGTAACTATTATCATAAGTAGTCTGTGGTATTCTAGGGCAATGCAATTGAAGTATCTGTCAGTGCTGTTCACACATACATACAAGATTTATTTAAACCACTCTCTAAATAAGATGCTTATTTTGAAGGAAAGATTGCATTACCTAATCAATATTTACAAATGTACTTACATTACGATCATACGACCAGTATTGTCAGTTGTAGACTTATATTAGGACCAGTATTGTCAGTTGTAGACTTACATTATGACCAGTATTGTCAGTTGTAGACTTATATTAGGATCAGTATTGTCAGTTGTAGTATGACCAGTATTGTCAGTTGTAGACTTATATTAGGATCAGTATTGTCAGTTGTAGACTTATATTAGGACCAGTATTGTCAGTTGTAGACTTACATTACGACCAGTATTGTCAGTTGTAGACTTATATTAGGATCAGTATTGTCAGTTGTAGACATACATTATGACCAGTATTGTCAGTTGTAGACTTATATTAGGATCAGTATTGTCAGTTGTAGACTTATATTAGGATCAGTATTGTCAGTTGTAGACTTATATTAGGATCAGTATTGTCAGTTGTAGACTTATATTAGGATCAGTATTGTCAGTTGTAGACTTATATTAGGACCAGTATTGTCAGTTGTAGACTTATATTAGGATCAGTATTGTCAGTTGTAGACTTATATTAGGATCAGTATTGTCAGTTGTAGACTTATATTAGGATCAGTATTGTCAGTTGTAGACTTATATTAGGATCAGTATTGTCAGTTGTAGACTTATATTAGGATCAGTATTGTCAGTTGTAGACTTATATTAGGATCAGTATTGTCAGTTGTAGACTTATATTAGGACCAGTATTGTCAGTTGTAGACTTATATTAGGATCAGTATTGTCAGTTGTAGACTTATATTAGGATCAGTATTGTCAGTTGTAGACTTATATTAGGATCAGTATTGTCAGTTGTAGACTTCCATTACGACCAGTGTTGTCAGTTGTAGACTTATATTAGGACCAGTATTGTCAGTTGTAGACTTATATTAGGATCAGTATTGTCAGTTGTAGACTTACATTAAGATCAGTATTGTCAGTTGTAGACTTCCATTACGACCAGTATTGTCAGTTTTAGACTTATATTAGGACCAGTATTGTCAGTTGTAGACTTATATTAGGATCAGTATTGTCAGTTGTAGACTTATATTAGGATCAGTATTGTCAGTTGTAGACTTATATTAGGATCAGTATTGTCAGTTGTAGACTTACATTACGACCAGTATTGTCAGTTGTAGACTTATATTAGGATCAGTATTGTCAGTTGTAGACTTATATTAGGATCAGTATTGTCAGTTGTAGTAGACTTATATTAGATCAGTATTGTCAGTTGTAGACTTATATTAGGATCAGTATTGTCAGTTGTAGACTTATATTAGGATCAGTATTGTCAGTTGTAGACTTATATTAGGATCAGTATTGTCAGTTGTAGACTTATATTAGGATCAGTATTGTCAGTTGTAGACTTATATTAGGATCAGTATTGTCAGTTGTAGACTTACATTACGACCAGTATTGTCAGTTGTAGACTTATATTAGGATCAGTATTGTCAGTTGTAGACTTATATTAGGACCAGTATTGTCAGTTGTAGACTTATATTAGGATCAGTATTGTCAGTTGTAGACTTATATTAGGATCAGTATTGTCAGTTGTAGACAGTATTGTCATTAGGATCTTATATTAGGATCAGTATTGTCAGTTGTAGACTTATATTAGGATCAGTATTGTCAGTTGTAGACTTATATTATGATCAGTATTGTCAGTTGTAGACTTATATTAGGATCAGTATGTAGACTTATATTAGGATCAGTATTGTCAGTTGTAGACTTATATTAGGATCAGTATTGTCAGTTGTAGACAGTTGTTATATTAGGATCAGTATTGTCAGTTGTAGACTTATATTAGGATCAGTATTGTCAGTTGTAGACTTATATTAGGATCAGTATTGTCAGTTGTAGACTTATATTAGGATCAGTATTGTCAGTTGTAGACTTATATTAGGATCAGTATTGTCAGTTGTAGACTTATATTAGGATCAGTATTGTCAGTTGTAGACTTATATTAGTATCAGTATTGTCAGTTGTAGACTTATATTAGGATCAGTATTGTCAGTTGTAGACTTATATTAGACCAGATTGTCAGTATTGTCAGTTGTAGACTTATATTAGGATCAGTATTGTCAGTTGTAGACTTATATTAGGATCAGTATTGTCAGTTGTAGACTTATATTAGGATCAGTATTGTCAGTTGTAGACTTATATTAGGATCAGTATTGTCAGTTGTAGACTTATATTAGGATCAGTATTGTCAGTTGTAGACTTATATTAGGATCAGTATTGTCAGTTGTAGACTTATATTAGGATCAGTATTGTCAGTTGTAGACTTATATTAGGATCAGTATTGTCAGTTGTAGACTTATATTAGGATCAGTATTGTCAGTTGTAGACTTATATTAGGATCAGTATTGTCAGTTGTAGTATTGTCAGTTGTAGACTTATATTAGGATCAGTATTGTCAGTTGTAGACTTATATTAGGATCAGTATTGTCAGTTGTAGACTTATATTAGGATCAGTATTGTCAGTTGTAGACTTATATTAGGATCAGTATTGTCAGTTGTAGACTTATATTAGGATCAGTATTGTCAGTTGTAGACATACATTACGTCAAGTATTGTCAGTTGTAGACTTACATTACGTCAAGTATTGTCAGTTGTAGACTTATATTAGGATCAGTATTGTCAGTTGTAGACTTATATTAGGATCAGTATTGTCAGTTGTAGACTTACATTACGACCAGTATTGTCTGTAGACTTATATTCAGTTGTAGTTGTAGACTTATATTATGTCAGTATTGTCAGTTGTAGACTTATATTAGGATAGTATTGTCAGTTGTAAACTGTTATATTAGGATCAGTATTGTCAGTTGTATTATATTCACCACTATTGGGTGGATTTATTCCGTACCCTATTGTAAATCTTTGTTTTCTGCAATTGGTGACAATTAGATTTTGTTTTGTTTAAATAACATATATATTTGTTGTCATTTTAATCTGTACATGCTCCTGTATCTTATGTCGCCTCTATATAATTTACCTGTGTATGTTTTAACAGAAATATTGAGGTTGTTTTATTACTGATTTGTAACATTTGTAATAAAAGCGACATCGGTGTATTAAGTGTTAATGTCCTGTTGTGGATGATCTACTAGGTTATCAGAAAGAGATAAATGTTGTGGTTGACAGGCTCGGATGCTGGTAACAGAATACAACCTGCTCGACGTTATTATGCAGTCCTTCCTTAAGTGTTGTGAGGAAAAGAAAAATAGTAAGTTTAATTACATTTGATTTTTCATTTGCTTCAAATAATTTCTATGTCAAAAACATGAGAAGAAAATCTTCATTCTCTGTAAGTTTAAGATTTAAACTAGAGGCACAATTAAAATTCATGACAATATCAGTCTTGTTGTTGTAATTAAAAAGTGTTAAACCCAGATGAAATCTTGATTGATCTGTTTCACAGATGAGGGAAAGCTGGCTTTTGACAGAGGTGACAGGAATCAAGCTTTTAAGAGAGCCTGTTACATGCTGTATGATATGAAGTAAGTGTTGTATAAAATTGATATCTTTTATTGTGTTTGGAAATATTTTAAAAGCTGTAATCTTTCTGTGATGTCTGAGATTGATAGCAATAGTACAGGTGTCCTTGTACATTAACATAGATACAGAGAACGTTATAAATATTAGGTAGACTCATTTATTTGTATAAGAAAACTCAAGGATTAAATTAGATTATTTTGGACACAAAAATGTTCAATCAATAGGTAGGTTAATGTCCCTGATCAACAGATTTTTTTCATACTTACTTCATGGTCTGTAATATCAAGTTTTACACAATATCATATTAAGATAGTATTCAGGCAAGGTGAAAAGGCCAAAGCTACTATTTGACAACTTCTGCAAGCTCATCAATTAATGATATTGAATACGATGTGAGAGGGGACATTGATATCTAACAGACTGTCTTTTGTTTTGTTCATTTAAAATTCATGTAATGACTTCAGAATAAGTATGTTTTAAAGGAAATTATTGCATCACAGTAACCATACTGTCCAATGTTCTCCAGTATGTTGTGATCATTGAACTGTTTTAATTACAGGTATGCCCTCACCTGTAAACCATCCGATCACGAATGGACTGACAAATTAAGGGAGAATTTCCTCAAAGGTTTGCGATCATTCCTGTCGCTCTTGAAGATGATGCAGGTAAATTATTCCTATACCTAGATGTTTATGCTAGTTAAACTAAAAAATGTTCAAATCCTACTCACATTATGAAGACAAATCAGCTTGTACTGTATCATTAGATGTAAGTGAAATGATGGTTTCACTGACCTGTAAAATAACTGATGTCTTGTTTATTACCCAGAGGTTTTATACAGATAGAGACAGTGTACAATATCAGGCAGTAATTAAGATATCAACACATCATGTGAAAACAGTATTTCTCGCAACACAATTATGAGGAAATGTTACTAGTAAAAATAAAATTGGATGGAAAATAAAAACCTGTGTACAAGACTACATGTAGAAGATTTTTACAGGCTTAAGTGAAAGCTAGAGCTGTTGTTAGTAGCTATACAAAAAAGTAACTTTTTACAAGCTGTTGATGAAAACTAGACCCTGTGTTGGTTACTGTCAGTAGAAACTACTTTATGGCTGTGGATGAAAACCAGATGTTAGTGGCTATACATCGAAAATATTTGTTACTGGATATTTATGAAAACTTAGTGTTATTGGCTATGAATAATAACTATTTTATAGGGTATGGATGCAGTCATAAGACAGACTGGTACACATCTGGAGTATGAGCCAGAGTGGGAGGGGGCCTTTAACCTACAGCTAAAACAGGATGATATCATCGCAGAATTCATCAACTGGTGTGGCCAGGATGTAAGTATCTAGGTCAGGTTTGTATGGCCAGGATGTAAGTATCTAGGTCAGGTTTGTATGGCCAGGATGTAAGTATCTAGGTCAGGTTTGTGTGGCCAGGATGTAAGTATCTAGGTCAGGTTTGTGTGGCCAGGATGTAAGTAACTAGGTCAGGTTTGTGTGGCCAGGATGTAAGTAGCTAGGTCAAGTTTGTGTGGCCAGGATTTAAATAAATAGGTCAGGTTTGTATGTCCAGGATGTAAGAACCTTGTGTCTGTCAGTTAAACAAAGGCTTTGATTTAACCTTAATGTCATCAATCTAGAGTTAACAGTTTTGTTATTTTGGCAAACTGACCAACGATAACACTGTGATGAAAAATGAAAGACAAAGATGAAGCCATGACTATGGATTCTAGAAGATTTCAAAGTAAAACACTCTATTCATTACTTCATGATATAACATGTGATTCAACTGTACTAGATTTAAAAAAAATCAATTATAATTTCAGAAACTTACCCTGATAGGTGCATACAAGATCACCATGGATATTTTATCTCAGTGTAAAGACAAACCAGCAACTGTGAAGCGTGAATACAAATCAGGTATGGACAAATTAGTACTATTAGTACTACCTGACATCAGCCTAAAGGCAAGTATACTCTGTTATGTACAGTACCCAACTCTTTGGAGATGGAATGTTTTTACTTATTAGGGTCTTTAATGCTTGTAGCTTTCTGAAGTTTAGTGCTATTGTTAATATGAAACTGAAGATTAGCTTTAACCTTATAGGAACAAACTTGCAACAGCGAAACATACAATATTGACCTTTATATTCTCAATTTCAGTGGCAGGATTCAAGGCTAAGTGTGTGCGATATGATGTGTCCGGTCAACATGTGTCAATACACCTCCCACTCACACGGTTCATGGCAGGTATGTACTCCTCAAACTAATATATCAATTACTACAGCATTAAAGGTTTGCTGTGTTTACTTATGTTGGAGCAAACTAGGTTTTAATTAAGCTGTACTTGATCTTATAAATAATATACTTTTACATGTACATATTTGAAACTGAACAGGATTGACCAAATACATTATCTACAGATTGATGGACCAAATTAAAAATCTGTAGATTTGGAGACTATATTTCCAGTGTGTTGTACATCAAGTTAATTGCTGATGTGTATTGTACTATGTTAATATTTTGCAGGTCTCTGTCTACATCTTGAGAAACATGGCCTAAACTTCAACTCCCCAGAACTTGCTATGGATGTATGTATAACCTGTGGTGGTATTAAAAACAAACGTAATCCAATATTGACTTGTATTAATGGGGTAGTGTAACTCATTTCTGGAGAGTCTTACTTTTGAAGAGATGAAATTATGTGAATTATGGCGTTATCATAGTAGTTGATACGAAAATACCATTATCAACACTTAATCAGTATGTTAAATGGTTTCTCAATACTTCATCATGATAAGTGATCATCAAAAACTATTGAAAATTTTTATCTGATACGTGTACTGTATGTCTGAAAGATATATTTGTTTAGCTTCCTGATGGGAAAAATATACATAGGATTCACATTACCAAAAAATTAACCCTGTTTAGTATGACTTTGCAAAGCATTAGAATGTTCTGTACCATTAATTGTTATGGTAACATTTACATGGTTGTGTTTGATATGAAAACAATTAACACCTGTAGATGACCAGTTATGTTTATGTTACATCATGGAGGACACACACAATATACCATTTTACCTTTACAGAGCTTGACCCCTGTTGACCTGATAGAGCCACCCCTAAGAGTGCTGGTGATGATTGCGCAGACCCAGGCAAACATGTGGCGTCGTAATGGCTATGGACTTCTCAACCAAGTAAACTAACTATATAGAATTAATGTAGAGGTTAACCTCATATACATGCAGAGTGTAAATCTTGGTTTTAACACTCAGTAATTTATGTAGGATGTTGATTTCTCCTTTATCATAACTTAAAATTTAGTTATAGTCACCGTTCAACTTTTCAAAACAAAATTGTCGCTGTTTATGATTGCATTTTAATTTTTTTTCTTTTTCTTCCCTCATATCTTATTGTATCTTGAAACTAGTCAAAGTCACTTCTACACTTTCCTAAAATTAATTGTCTAACTGTTAATGATGGTAATATGAATTTTCTTTTTCTTTCAGATATTTTTCTACCATAATGTGAAGTGTAGGAGAGAGATGTATGACAAAGACATTGTGATGCTACAGGTAACATTGTTTATATACCTTAGTCAGGTCCTCCTAATACGATGAAGTCTTTATTTTATATCACAGTTATCATTCCTTATGTGATCTTTCTAATGCAATCACTACGAGGGCACAACTTGCAGTGTTGGACTTACTCCTTTACTACACATTTCTAATGCAATGTTGGTAACTTTACCAGAATGGAGAAATTGGTAAAAAATGATGTGGTACCTGTCTGAAATTAGGTGTTATACCTGTAGTGATTCTGTTTGAAATGTGTTTTGATACAGGATGCAGAAATATATAACATTATGCACCATGATATACATATTATTGTACTAGTTTTAGGATCCTTAATTGATGTGTTATTTATGTGTTATTGATTGATTATATCGTCATGGTGATACATATGTTTTGTAGATTTTGATATAAATTTTACATTATTGATAGTAAATATTTACTATGCTATCTATATACACTACACTACTGCTGCACCAAACAATATAACAATGTCCTGTTACAGGTGGGAGCCTCTGTGATAGACAGCAATGAATTCTTGATACATTTAATGAATAAGTTTGGCCTGCTGGCCTGGGCCAGGTAAGTGTCACCTTCTACACACCCACATCCACCTCGAACCTCCATCCCCTCACAAAAAGCAAAATTAAATCACTCGAAGATAATGACAGAAATTTTAAAGTGGTGTCTGTATTTAAAATATTGATGTTGCATTCTTTTTAAACAGAAAAAAAAGAACGAAAAACTTCTGAAAATATGGCAATATAAAACAGATAGACAAAGAATTATCATAGAAGATGTTGAAAGTATTTGGTGTACTATTTCTCAGTATAAATATAATGTGTTACAGTCTGGAGTATGATGTACCAGGAAGTCAGGAAGACATGATCAAACAGACAGTGACTTTGGCTGAGGAATTTCTGAACCTTCTTATCATTATAATAGGTACTGTACCAAATATCAAATATCACAGTATATACTGTAAAGTATGTTTATCTAATAAGACAGTTAATACTAATATGTAACATATAACACTTTTATAAACCAACTAACTTTACAAGGCTCCAGTTGTGTGGGTTAAGTTACCAATTATACTGTAACTGTAGACTGGTTCATGATGATGAATACCGATATGCAACAGTTGTTATAATTTATAGTTGATCACAAAATTATTTACCAAAGATTTAGATGAGAAGGAATTCTTTTGTGCAAATATCTTTGCATTTCTTGTCCAAAAAGGATGTATCTTCTTTAGTGTCAGACCTTATGAAGTAGGCTTGTGCTGGTAAGAGATTCGACAATCATTGTGCCACTTCTTTTTTTTTAATGTTCTGGAAAACAAGTTCTAAGTCATTGTATTTCAAAAACCTGAAAATCTCTGTTGCCGTTCCTTCGGAGATGGGGCCTATGATATGTAATATAACATATAAATGCTTATAAACATGTATATTCAATATTTGATCTTTGACAGTATGTATACTAATGGTTTTTGGAATTGACAGGTGAACGGTATGTGGAAGGAGTTGGTGATGTGACAAGTGCAGACACGGTCCAGCGGGAGATTATCCACCAGCTGTGTATTTCACCAATGGCCCACAGCGAACTCTCCAAGGCTCTCCCAGAGGATGTGAGTCAGCTTCTGAATTTGCTGCTTTTTAATAATTATTATGTCCGTCTATCAACTTTTTGTCCAGAGCACAGCACTAAAACTATGAGAGGTATTAACATGAAACTTTCTAGGTAGATAGATCTCCACTAGTAGGAAAGCAGTGCACAGTACTCTCTTATTGCCCTTTGTTACTTTTCATTCTTATATTTTGTCCTGATCGGGGAGCATAACCCGTTTTAAATGGCCCTTGTTATTACTGTTTTTGTTATTTTTGTTAGATTGTTACTTCCCTCTCTTTAAGAGTACTGAATGGGTCCTCTCTAGATGTCCCTTTCTTATTGGGGACTTACAAAGGATAAAATCTGAAATGGCTGGAAAGTGGCCATCTTTGATTTTGACATTGAAAAATTGTTATCATTATTTCTTGAGAAGTTTTGAATGGATCATGCCCAAATTTCATGTGAATGTTCCCTTCTGTCTTCAGTTGTGCCCTTTTGATTTAGAAATGATTAGAAAAACAAAATGGCTAACAGAAGATTATTTCGGATTTTCACTATTAAGAGGAATTTTCCAATTATATATAACAAAGAGCAAGAACAAAAGGAAGAAGAGGGAAGAAGGTATAATATTAAACTTTTAAAGAACAAATGAAGGGCTAACAATGGTGGGTTTCAAGATCCCTCATGAATCTCTTATTATAGTAAACAATATTCCTTGTTTTGTACTGATTTGCAGAATGACATTTGCTTTGTTTATACTTTACAGAGCAACCATGAGACTGGTATTGAACAGGTTATCAACCTTGTTTCTACATTCAAGTAAGTTTCTTTCATGGTTACATCAAAATCCGTTCCAACAAATACTGAAGTTTGGAGACTGCATTGATTCATCTTGGTCATCAGTTATGTTTGATCAGTTTACAACTTTATGTTCAATAAAGAAACCAGAGATCTTTATCACAGTTGATTTTTATCTTACAGGAAGTCAGCAACAAACTCATCAGGGCGATTTGAACTGAAGAAAGATTCCTACCAAGAATATAACAAGTATTTCTACCACTACAGCCGGGCTGAGCAATCAAAGGTACAAGGCATACAAACTCTTTGTAAACAACTTCTTTCATTTACACATGATAATGTGTATGATTATTTTCTGTTCTTTTTATGTTTTGAACAAATAATGTTTTATACTTCTGACCTAACATTCTGTTATGTTTCAGTCAGAGGAGGCCCAGATAGAGAGAAAGAAGCATGAGAATGAAGGTCAAGGTGGGTACACTGTAATTGATTTTAGTAGGCATTTTACCCATAAATCTGATTGACAATACCAAGCTGACAAAAATTCTGATATATCTTGTAAGTTTCATCATGAATCGTCTTAATCATCATTTTAGCTCTTCCACCACCAAACCCTAAAAAATTCAAGCAGAACTTTCAGCCAATCACCAACCTCCTTCAGTGTGACATGATGCTGTATCTGATGCACCTTCTACTACAGCGGACAGCAGCAAAGCGCTCAAGGTCATGGTCTGAAGGACAGCTTGACAGAGTAAGATCTTGTCTATGTCATTCTTAATGTTAGTGTTGTATATCACTTAATGCCTCCAAGGTTTGTTCTAATAGTTATTTTCTTTACAGATATTCATTGAATAGAAAATCTTTTATCATGTAAGTGGGTATGTCAATAAGAGTTTTAAAAAAGAACATTGTTGTCATTACAATATTTGAAATTGTTGTCAGATTAAATTTGTGAATCATTTTTAAAGTGTCATGATGACCTATTGCGATCACTACCAGCATTGTGCGTCCATAACCAATTTAACATTTTTTTACTTCTTCTTAAAACCCCTGAACTGATTTCAATGAAATTTTTCAGAAACCTTCCCTGGCCTAAGATGAACCAAAATAGTAAATTATACTGTCCCCACCCCTTGAGGGACGGGAACAAAATGAGTCAAATTGACTCTGATTTCAAAAATCTTCTCATCATGACCCAGATAAGGTGGAATGAAACACTCTTCATGGATGGAAGCATCTTAGATTCTTTACCAAAATTGTGAATTTCATGGCCCCAGGGTCTCGCATTTCCCATGGGGAGGGCGTAAAGATTACTGAGTTTATATAAGCAAAATAGATTGGTTAGAATTATGAGCAAGGGATGACAGCTAGATGGTATGCATATACTGATCCTGACTGACCCCCAGGGGCTGATCGGTGTGGCCAAAAGGGGTCAAAATGACTTGAATTTCAAAAATCTTCTTCTCAACATCCAAGTATGGTAGAATTAAATGCTCTTGACGGATGGAAGCATCTTCAGGTGCTTTGATTACCAAAATGGGTCTCACATTTCTTTTTGGGGAGGATGTTAACTTAACTGCAATTTTTATAGAAAAATTGCATATTTGAGTGTAACATTGTCGATTTTCCACTGGAAATAACTTTGTAAGAATTATTAGAATAGGATGACAGTTTTGATGGTATACATTTATTGGCTTACTATCATCAATGACTTAATTTCTTTTTCAGGACACATGAAAGCCACTTACTTACCCTTTAACCATTATAATTAATATTGCTTATTTTAGGTGGTCATCCAGTCCTTTTGTTTAATTACTGACCTGAAATATGTTGTTATAATTTCAGATTTTGCATATTATTGGTCTAGCCTTATTGGAACAGAGGAGAGCTACAAACGAGGGAGACCACTCCTTTGACTTCCTGTCCAAAGCCATCAATGGTAAACTGTTAAATGTTTTTATCTCCAAGACTTTTTGACTAGAATGTTACAGGTCAAAGACTTAAATAGACTGAAGTTTCAATAACAAACCACTAGATCCTCTTTTATGTAAGAAAGTTAAACACTATACATGTTCACATTAGAAAAAAGATGTTTTGATAAATTAATCTCCACTACTTTTTATTTTGCTTGTAGATGACAGAAACATAATGAGCATAATGGAAGGTCTAGTTGGTAATGCCAATCTGACCCACGAGTCAACCAAGGATCTCCTTACATGGACGCTTAAGGTAAACCAGTAAAGCATGGAACACTGATACAGCTCACTCATGTGTAGAAATTAATATGTATCATAAACAGGTGTTACCGCGGGATGGATTTTGAAATAACAATTTTTTTGTTGGTTTTGTAGTGAAATGTTGTTTCTTTAATTTAGCTGTTTTTGGAAGTTCGTAAATTGAAGAATGATCCTGTCAGCATGGACACATTGGATCAACTGTCTAGCTCTACAAACCGAAATCATGATGAAACGAAAAAACTCAAAGCCAAGATGGCAGCCAAACGACGTGCAAAAATCATGGCACAGATGTCAACAATGCAGAAAAATTTTATTAAGGAAAATGCTGAGTTATTCCAAAGTGCTGATTCTGAACTTAGTAGGACTTCATCTGATATGGACATCAGGCAAGTAATGATTTAGTCTGGAGAGGTGATTGTTTTAATACAGTACAATACAATTTGATGTTTAAAGTTAAGTTCATTCATATCACTTTCATATATGTCCTTCATGTGTTCACCTTTAATTGACTGTATGTTCTAATGACCTTGAACTCTCAGTGAGTTTTCTATACTGTGACCATGTCGTGTTGACCTTGACCTCAAGTCTGTGAGTTTCCTATACTGTCACCATGTCGTGTTGACCCTGACCTTCAGTCTGTGTCTTTCCTATACTGTGACCATGTTGTGTCGACCATGACCTCCAGTCTATAAGATTCCTATACTGTGACCATGTTATGTTGACCATGTCCTTCAGTCTGTGAGTTTCCTGTACTGTGACCATGTTGTGTTGACCTTGACCTCCAGTCTATGAGTTTTCTGTACTGTGACCATGTTATGTTGACCATGACCTCCAGTCTATGTGTTTCCTATACTTTGACCATGTCGTGTTTACCATGACCTCCAGTCTGTGAGTTTCCTATATTGTGACCATGTTATGTTGACCATTACCTCCAGTCTGTGAGTTTCCTGTAGTGTGACCATGTTGTGTTGACCATGACCTTCAGTCTGTGAGTTTCCTATACTGTGACCATGTTGTGTTGACCATGACCTTCAGTCTGTGAGTTTCCTATACTGTGACCATGTCATGTTGACCATGACCTCCAGTCTGTGAGTTTCCTATACTGTGACCATGTTGTGTTGACCATGACCTCCAGTCTGTGAGTTTCCTGTAGTGTGACCATGTTGTGTTGACCTTGACCTCCAGTCTGTGAGTTTCCTATACTGTGACCATGTTGTGTTGACCTTGACCTCCAGTCTGTGAGTTTCCTGTCCTATGTCCATGTTTTGTTGACAGTGAACTACAAAGTGGTGGCTTCCCTGTGGCCCTTGGCAGAAACAGGAGTAAGGTGGCCAGCCCTGTTCCTTGTAAGGGCATGTGTATACTGTGTCAAGAGGAGCAGGAAGTCAAACACAGTGGTCGAGCAATGGTCCTTGCCGCATTTGTACAGAGGTACTGTTTCATCACAAATATCAGATTGTTTCCATCTTTTCAAACAGATCAAATAAAATTAGTATTAAACAGGGATCATACAAATGATGGACATGTTTTGTTTGACAGAATGTTATTTAAAGCATGCAAATCTGGTTTTAGCTTTCATTTGTAACAAGAAATTAAGATTGAAAGACAAATATACTTTTCCTAACCTGAAAAATTTGTTGCTGACTGACTTTGTGTCTGATTTTAGGTCAACAGTACTATCACAATGTCGGAGGAAGTTTCCATCAAAAGATGATGACGACCATGACTATCTTTTTAGTCCTTCTGATCTCACCTCAGGCACTTACACCAGTTCCTGTGGCCATGTAATGCATTTTGATTGTTGGCAAAGGTAAATTTTAGTTTAATTGATTAAGCAGCGGTTGATGACCACAAGTTCTGTTGTATTATGTATATATTTTTGAAAATGATTATGATCGTTTGGAGGGTAATTGCTCTTTCTGGTTTCTTTCTCATGGTTTGATGGCCCTTATGACCTTTTATGTGTTGATAAGCTATTGAGAATGCAATGATAATAGAATTATGCCTTACTGACTTAAATGCTAACCTGAATGTTCCCTATCTTCTGTTAACTTTCTTCATTTTGACAATAGAATCAGGGGTAGGAGCACTTTATAATCATGCTTACACTTGTTTATTTGGTGGTAAATATGTATCATTTCTATGAATTTTTACAGGTTTTTTGACGCAGTAGTAATGAGAGAGCGACGGCGGCCCATTCGGTTTCGTTCTAATCTCAGTTATAATATAGAACAGAATGAGTTTCTATGCCCATTGTGTGAAAGTATAAGCAATACTGTGATACCTGTTGTTCCTTCTCTTCCTTCTCTCGTCCCAGACAGGTAATTATAATATGTATACTTCAGAACTATATATATATATATATATATATATATATATATATAGGTAAAAGGAACAGCTATATAAATTATATGTATATTGTACGATCTTCAATAGATATATCATTTTTGGATGGTGAAAAGAACATGTTGAATAAGGTAAAGATAATTAATTTAGGAACCATTACATCGTGAATTAAACATCCCTAGAAGTGTTTTGTTGTTCAGTGTTGGTAAAACATGTTTCAGTAAAAGCCAGAAATAAGTGTATTTATTATAATTGTTGATGTGGTTATCATTCTTCCATCTCTTCTACTGGATCACTTTATAGTGGAATTTCTCCAATACAATCACACATGGGACATTAATATTTGGTCAGTTTAGGGAGGTTTGCAGAAATGATAAAAAGTTAACTGATCTTGAATAGGATATATTTGATTTGACTACGTTCTGCACATTACATTAAAGGGATGAGCTGCACAAGTTAGGATTTCATATGATTGGGGTTTCTTTTTTTGGAAAAAAAAAATCACAAGAAAGGCTACTGATGTTCTTAAAGAAATTGTGTGCTTAAATTCACCATATAAACAAAGATATGACATCTAATTTGTTGATATTCTATATACATTTAGCTAGATTGATTTACAAACTTTAGCTCAGCCATATTAAGACTGAACAGGTGTGCTTTTTATAAGCTGAACAGGAAATATTTATGTATATTTTAAATTGATAAGAAATAAACCAAAAGAAGCATTGAAATACTGATACCAGCAGAAATTATTAATGAACCATTTACATAACTGTGTATTTACTCAACACTTAGATATATTTAGACAGTCTAATTTTATATTAGTAGGGCATATTTACAGCAATTGTACTTGTCCAAACTGAATTTAGGAAAGATATTGTAATGCTAACAATTGTATCAAACATCATTTGGAAAACTCCAGTAATTGTTGACAAAATATTCCTTTTTTCCTCTTATATTTTGAAGAAGACTTGGTCGACAGCCAGACTTTGGAAATGCTTTTTAATCTCTCAACTGAAGAATTTTTTGCCTGATTTTACAGCAATAAAGATGATGCAAACCTGACATTCAATGATTGGCTGGATGGTCTACATAAATCTGTACAAAGTAGCAGAAAGGAAACAGACATCAAGGAGGCCAAAGGTAGGTCAACATCAGAGAACAGAGGACAGATCATTGGCCAGGTGTAGGATTCTCTTTATCAATAGTAGGCTAGATAAAAAAATTGACATCATCAGGAAAAATCTTGTAAAATTTTATCTGAACCAATGTCAGTTTCTGGCTGTATTGTCTTGGTCATTCTTCTGCTAATATAGATTAGAGAAATTTTGTTGTATAAAAGATTGTGCAAATCTCTTCACAGACACTGTCGCCTATGAGTTTGAGCCATCTCCTTTGAATGCAATTACCAAGATGATGGCTGAGAGTGTAGCTAGCAACTTCAGACTTCTGTGGCAGTCATTTCAAAATGACAGGTAACACTTTCATTACTGTGACATTAAGAGGTTTGGATGTGAGTTAATTTACAAGTCTGATAAGAGACATCTTAACGAGGTAGTGACCTCAGCACTTTGTCAGTAATAACCTACAATTTCATCCGTCAGATAAATTTGCTGCTTTCAATTGTTATTAATGAGACCAGGGACGTATAATACATAATGTATTATACGTCCCTGATGAGACATATAAATATACATAATTGAAATAAAAGAAAAATTTAATGGGGGCATATAGTTATATGTATGTCTGTCCAGCCTTTTCTGTTCCAATGTTCTAGGACATAACAATAGATTTGGTTCATATTTACCTCACTGTATGGTAACATCTAGCTCTACACTTGCTATCCCGCGCTCTATCTCATACAATGTACACTACTATTCACTAGAACATTTTACTTGGGATATGGGTTTATCTTGGTGTGGCCGTGTGACGTGTATCAAAAGTAGGTCACTCTGATGCATATTTTGACTTTTGACCTGCATCAAAGAAAACAGTTTGTCAAGGTTCTATCTCCTATACTACCTGTCACTGGAAAGTTATATTTGGGGTATAGATTCGTCTTGGTGTGTTGTGTATCAAAAATAAGGTTGACAAGAAGAAAATTAAACTGAATTGCATTGCTATTAATTTTTTGAAATCATTTATAAAATTCTTTCTTAATAAAAATATTTGAATCTAATAGCATTTCAATGCTCCAAAATCCATCATGTAAACTTGATATTGTTATGTTTCAGCACTCTATTTGCTCAAAGTTTGACTGACATGGTGAAGAAGTTTGGCAGAGATGTTTATTCTGTATGTATTTGAAACCTTTTGTTCTCTAAGAATTTTTTTATAACAAAAATGTTATTATAGGATGATGAATAGTTGCAAAAGCTTGTTGATGTTCTAAAATTTCTAAAGATATGCTAAAATGCCCTGGGCTAAAATAAGAATATTCGAAGGAAGATGCAAATAAAAAAAAAATGTTAAAATAAAATCAAGTTAAACTTCATCAAGTTTTCTGCAAATGATATTTGCTTTCAAGGCTGAACTGTTAAAAAACGAAATAAGAAAAAAAAAAGTAGTGAATGTTTTGTGTACATCTACCCAAATCTGATTGGGAAATATCCAGTGGTACTATCAAAATTTGGTAGCTGAACATAAAGCCAATTTAAACACCAAAGTATGAAAGTAAACAGGTTGATTAATTAACATCTACTACATGTAATATCTTTCCATGAAGTATGTTGAATCTGTGTAATGTCGTCTTCCAGTTTGGTTTGAATGTGGAACCTGATGATGGTAATGTGAGAGTACCTTTCATGGCCTGGTCAACCTGTGTCTTCACTTTACAATCTATTGGTAGGTAAAGGGTCCAGGTCCGTTTTTTCTATGATCACATCCTATCAGGGATTTAACATTGGACTGGTGAAGAAATCTTGTTGAAATTTTAAAGATACTTATGTAATACCTTCAATCAAGTAAAGTTCCTCTTTCACATGATCAGCCAAAGAAGGCTTGTCAGATCATGTAAATCCTATGGCATTCATTTATTTGGAAATAAGGATATTACACAGCTTTACAAGATGAAGTGATCAAGATGTTTAAGTTTGATGGGTTAGGTAACAGATTTATTGTAAGCTTAGATGTTAGATGTAGAGAAATCTTTGATGTTTGTCCTGTTTAACAAGAGATAGGATGAGATAAAGTTTGGAGTCAGCAGTTACAAAATTTGCGTCTTCTACAGAACAACAGCTGAAGGTGGAGGAGAAGCCATTATTTGGGGCAATGTCCTCACGCCAATCTGACTGCCTCTCTGCTCTTATCAAGTTTGCCTGTATCTTCAATCTGGTGATCCCCCAGAACCTTATCAAGCAGCACTGTCTACGACTCCTGTCTGGTAAGGCTATCTGTTAAAATCAAGCATCCTTTGTCATTATGGAATTTTAAAGAAATGGAAACTCTGATGTCCATCATATTTTGTTGCATAGTCTAATGTTCATAATTTACATGCTCATTCATATGTTACTTGTGTTGCTATAGCCCTAATGCCTGAGGCTAACAGGACGAGGAAGGATGGCCAGAGTATACTGGACATTGACATGTTTGGCTACTTGCTGACCTTGACTGTGACCCTGCCTTCACTATATACAGACTGTCAGGCTCCCTCTATGGGAACTCTACCTACAGGAGGGCTAGGGGATCACCATGCCCTTAAGCTGGTGCTTACAGCTCACATTGTCCAGATCATGCTTACCTGTGATATACCCTCTCAAGGTATGGTGCTGCTAGTGAAGAATAATTAGATCATCAGTGAAAGATGAGATAGAAATGTCAGCTATTGAACAGTAAGGTCATGAGAGATATGTTTGCTTTGATGTTTTTAAACATGTTCAGTATAGTTCTCATAATTTCAAATATATTTATACATTGTTTTCTTTGTTTTAAATAGGAATGATGGAGATAGAAGCTGACAATGAAGGAGAAGCCTTACTCAGAATCTACACCTTCATCAGAAAGGAGGCCAAGTAAGCACTTCTCACACAGCTGATTACTGTAAATGCACATAAGTTACATATTTTCTCACTGAATATATTTCACTAAAATACTATCAAACTAATGACAGTTTCTGTGTGTTGATTAGATAGCAAATGTTTTTGTCACGCTGTGATTCATCATTGTGCTAATTAAAAAAATAAGATGATACTGCACTGAAATTTGATTATATCAAATTAAGAATGTTTACTGTATTTAATTAAAACATGGCTCAATAAACCTTTCTTAGATATGACTGATTATGATAACCTCTCTATCACAGCTGAATGGATCTCACTAATATATAGCTCAATAATTTCCTCACTAAAATATAACCCAACAAGTACCTGACTGAAACACTACAGTTAATTTACTGTTATACACAGCTCAATGATAATTACCCTTACTAAAATATTACTTAATGATGTACTCTCTTAACTTATTGATTTTTCAGTAACAAAGCCAGTGACCTGCAGTATTTGTATGTAGTGTGTTTAATGCTTTAACACCAGGTCTATATTGTTTTATATTTTATCCTGATGGGAGAGGTTTCAATATTATCACTAGTGCTGTATCTGTGTTGTAGGATGGAAGGAGAGTCAGAGAATCCAGTACAGCCTTGGCAGTTAAGCCAATACCTTAGGAAAGCATGTCTACCATTCCTGCGGTGTGCTGCCCTTCTGTATCGACAGATCACAGAGGTTCCAGCTCCCCGTAGTCTTCAAGGTACTGTAAAATCCACATATTGTCGGCACCTACGTAATGTGTGAAGTATTTCTTGGAATTAAAAAATACTGATACGATGTATATGCTTCTATGATATGGGAACCCACAAATTCACTCAAAATCGATCTCCGGGAGCCAAGAAAATTGATCTCGGAATGTTCAGTTAACAAGTCAGACCAATGATATAAAGTCCAAAACATGAAAATATTCTCTTCAAACTCATTTATTGACTTTTGTCATTTATTGACATTTATTGACTGCCTAATATTTGTTGAATTCTTCAACATGTCATGCTGTATCATACACTTGTCTATCCAATTAACCTAGATTTATTTATCTTACGTACACAAACACTTGTCTATCCAATTAACCTAGATTTATTTATCTTACGTACACAAACACTTGTCTATTCAATTAACCTAGATTTATTTATCTTACGTCCACAAACACTTGTCTATCCAATTAACCTAGATTTATTTATCTTACGTACACAAACACTTGTCTATCCAATTAACCTAGATTTATTTATCTTACGTACACAAACACTTGTCTATTCAATTAACCTAGATTTATTTATCTTACGTCCACAAACACTTGTCTATCCAATTAACCTAGATTTATTTATCTTACGTACACAAACACTTGTCTATCCAATTAACCTAGATTTATTTATCTTACGTACACAAACACTTGTCCCTACACTAGCCACTTGTCTATCCAATTAACCTAGATTTATTTATCTTACGTACACAAACACTTGTCCCTACACTAGCCTTATCAACAGTGTTTAGTGTTGAAATAACATGTTTAAGTAATTATCTACCTATTAGTGACCACCCAGGTAATTACGATTTCCATCATGATTTCTTTTCATGTCTCACTGTCACGTTGCACATGTGCCAGTTAACATAAATTAAGGCCCCAACTCTGTATATGCAAGTGATCAGTATACATAAACGTCATGTAGGTATGAATATGAGTATTGTTAACATAGGAATGGTGTTTCAGTACACAATTTGTAAATGTAATATCTCCAGACTATCCCTTTTTTTCATGACGAATGTAAGTTATTGTTCGACTCAAAGATATTCTTGGTAAACACCAAAAAGATCAATATTGATAAATAATAAATTGATTCCGTAGTCTGAAACCTGGGTCTCAATCCACATTCTGCATACTAATATGTCAATGCTAACAGTACACATGAAAAGAGACATGTGCTCATGGCTTCTTCAATACAATATCCAATATGAAAGAGAAAAAAATGAAACCTGTGAATTTCTTAAGAGTCAGACAAGTGTTTCAAAAGATCATGGTATTATAAAGATGATAGTTTTCAGTGTTCCAAACAGGCCACTGTCTTCATTGATTGATAGTTTTTTGTCCTGTAATTTGACATTTTTTAAATCTTTGTCCTGATTTTAGATGATATTGACTAAGATTGTTTGCAGTAATATATACCATAATTAATTTGTTGATTATTGCTGTTCATAAATATTTTATCAAATCCTTTTTGTGTCAGTTTTGCGTACCAGGTAATACTGACAATCAATGATTGTGGCCTCCCGTGATCTTTTTTTTTTTTTCGTAAAAAGAAAACTTGATAGCTACATATGTGTGCACCTCCCACTTTGAACCTTTAATTTCACAAAAAAAAAAAAAAAAAAAGAAAGAAAGTTGTACATTACATGGGTTCTTACGGTAAATATATATATATCCTGTATATGTAAAATCCCTGCTCTATAACAATATAATGGAAGAAGTTACTGTCAGACGATCTACAAAGTGCATTCATTGTCTGGGGTGTTGGTTAGATGTACTAATATACCGCTATGTTTGCAGTGGTATAATAATTTAATACTAAGTGAAAAAATTTGTACAAGAGAAAGTCCATGTAACATTTACTAAATGTCAGTACTGATAGAAGCTTGATTTCAAAATAATGGTGATTTTGTTTAATTACAGAGTTGAATGATGATGAGTTTGAGCCACTATGTCGTTATCTAGCTCTTCCTCCCCAACTGTCCACGCTGTTTGAAAGTCAGGGAGACATCATCACCAGTCTAGTCCAACAGTAAGTCTTTCCCTTGTTTTTCCCTATAGCATAATATTTCTTTTGCAAGTTTGCAGCCTTCCTATTTCTGTACTTCGATTTCTGTCCATCAAGATAATACTATCAAATAAAGGGTTCAAATTTTAGTTTTATTATTGGTGCTTATTTAAAAGATGAAGAATTGAGGAAAAAAATGGAATGTTTTCAGAATCCCTCATAGCTCATGTCCATGTCCTCCAAACAAACAGAAGTCTTAATGTTTTTTGTATATAAAGAATACACAGAACATGCACATGAATACTGGAAATATTGCTATGTGTGTGTGTTAAAGATAGTTGCTAGCTCTGAATGATTAAAATATACATTGTTTGACACTGTAGGTGGTGCCACAATGACAATATTGGCAGTCAGATGATGACAGCCAGCAGTGAGAAGATCATCAGTTACCCACGTAGAGTCAATCGGCTGGTTACTCTGCCAGAGGATTATAGTGAACTCATCAATGAAGTCTCATCTTTCACGTGAGTTGTGTAATTTACAAAGGTTGGACCTCCCACAGCAGATTGATATCATATTTCTTTCATGTGGAATGTCCCTGCCAGAATTGTACCTAAGCGAAAGTGATATTTTAGTCATTGTGCAAGGGCTAAGTGATGTTACTAGTTTTGGTTGTAAGGAGAAATCTCTTAAGATTAGAGTTTTTATATAGAAATTGCTAATACTAGACAAAAAGGTTAAAATTCTTTGGGTTAATATTTTATGATTCCGCACTATAACTAAATTCCAACAAGCCTGCCATGTTGCTAGTTTTATAGTGATGAGTGCTCTTAAAAACTGTGTATTAGCATTTCCTTGGCAGACTTCATCGTGTTTCATTCATGAATTTGTACATCAGAGTGTCTTTCAATTTCCAAGGAGACAACAAATTACAACGTATTGTCAGTTTGACAAAAAAAATTACTAATTTGTTGAAAATGTGTCTAAAAACATCAATGAATTCCCTGTGGTTAGAAGGTACTGATTTTTTAACTTATTAATTCATATATAAGATCAAATTATTATTGTAATGGGGGGGATGTCATAGTAGAAGAAAGCTGTTTATGAAAATCTTCCTCCTAAATGCTATTTATATATCTCCTTGCCAGTTGGAGGGGAAACTTGCTCACCTCATGTATCAAATTGTGAAAGATGTCTATTGATCTCTGCAGTTGTCCTAAGTCAGATGGTGATGAAAGTCGAGCCCCCACCATGTGCCTGGTGTGCGGTAAGATGCTGTGTTCTCAGAGCTACTGTTGTCAGGCTGATGTGGATGGAACGACTTGCGGAGCTGCCACAGAACACACAGTATCTTGTGGTGCTGGTATTGGAATATTTCTCAGGTCTGTTAGAATTTAGCAGTTTTTGATTAATCTGAAGGCATACATGCTTTTATGACTGTATGAGATCGCCAGGGAAATGTAATTTTGCTCACCACTGTCTGGTCCAATTTTGTTCTCTTGTAACTATGATTATCTGCAGCATCTGCAGTTTTTATATTGATTTAGTTGGTTGGAATGTAAAGAAGGAATAATGCATCCACTACAAACATATTTTTGGGAAAGAGTTAATTAAAGAAATCAATCTGGTAGGAAGCAGATCAATTCTGGAATTAATTTCTGAAATGAAGGCTGTCGCTAGGTATTAAATGAAATATAGACAAAGGTTGGAAGGTGTGCATAACATTTTTTTTAATCATTTCAGGGTGAGGGAATGTCAGATATTACTTCTGGCAGGCAAATCCAAAGGTTGTTTTGTGCCTCCTCCGTACCTAGATGTTTACGGTGAAACAGATCAGGGTCTGAGGTACATGCTTTTAAAGAGCTAACACTTACTGTTGTAATTGAATGTAACACTGTCTTGTTCGCATCGTTTGACTTAAAAATTTCCGTAGAAGTACCTATATCTGTTAAAGCGGCTATAACCTTAGTTTTTAACATCAGGAAATGGAGAATCGGCTTATGAATAATAAAATATATTCATAATAAAGCGATACACGCGCCTATGACGTCAAATTTGTTGTTTTTGTACATATTTTCGGTGTCGGAACATTGTTTATCTTGACTATTATTTATAAACATGTTCACACTTGGTTGACTACGAAGAAAGCTTAGTGGGTCACATGGCTCTTGTTTACTTCCACCGCAAAGAAAAAATGGATTACGAGATAAACAAACACACGTCTTATGTATAACACTTGCTTTTGCGTCTTACTGCTAATTCTTGTTTGCAATAAATAATTCTATAGTGTTATAATATATAATTTTTAACAATCAATCTTAGTAATTCGTGGGGCCCCAAAGAGGGTAATTACAAATGCACAGGAATTGATACTTTTTCTGTACACATTGTTAGATATTGTTTACTATTCAACATGTGTCTATGCATTTATTATGAATGTTATGTTTATCACAACGGTCATTATTCTCACAGTATGGTACTGTCATATTTTTACACATAGAACGAATACCCGCAATTGGGCCCCACCTTGCAGTCAACAACAAACACAGGTTGCTGATAGTATATTCAAGCGAATAACAAAACCATTTTCATTCAACATTTATCAGATAACACTTTTAGTAGTGTTGTTCATAACATATTCATGCGCCAAACACTGGATATTGGATTATGATCAATGACAGGCGGATACGTTATAATTATAGGGCTGACGTTAAGCTAACCAGTCAAGCAGCAACTTCGCAAATGCTGAATCCGTATTCAGTCCAAGATCCTCCTTCATCTTTCGCCAGCTATCGATCTCCTGTCTATTATAAATTCTTCCTCTTATGCTTTCTGGCACTTTCTTAAAGGTAACGTTTAGGTCCCCGTCGCCATTTTGTATTTGCGCCTGCCATATTGCTTCTTTTTAGGCTTATATGAATGCGCAGCATCAGGGTTACGAGCGGTAATGTATGAATTAGATCAGGACCGCACTGTTTACATTCTTTATTTTTTAGATATCAATAAAAAATGGTTGCAGTGACTTTAAATTTTAGTAATTAACAGAAAGTCTTTGTTTTGTAACATACTATTGGAAAACAGAATGTTTTATATCGTTTTCTCGTAGAATTTTTTAACATTATAGTCACTTTTAAAACATCATCGGTCACAGAGGACATTAATTCTTGTAAAATCATCGGTCAAAGCTGACAATATCTGTCATAAATATTAGTGGTCAAGTGGACAAAGGCTATTTACTAAAATGTTGATTCAGTCACTGTTAATGAATGATTATTAATGAAGACATAATTTCCACGATAATTATGTCAACATTATCGTCGCATATTCTTCATTTCCATGGTTCACTGACAGAGTGTAAGATAACATGCTGTCTGTCAGGGTCATTACACAGAACAGTTCTCTACAAGGAATGATTGGGAGTCTATTACTTTGAAAGTAAGAAACATAATGTAAGTACTTCTTGTTACAGGCGAGGGAATCCGCTGACTCTATGCCAGACAAGTTATAAGGCTCTGGAGAAACTCTGGTTCACACACTCCATCCCACAGACTATTGCTCATAATCTGGAGTCTCACAGCAACCTCCTCACCATTGACTGGCAGCATCTATGACGGCTGTGATTTATTTTATTGGATTGTTTCTTGTTCTTCTCCAATCTACTGCTCAGGAGTGTATGGGTGACTTACCACTGGCAACCTGTGATCAGATTGATGTATTGGGTAGTGGAACTTCACAACTGCTGTGGAAACTTGGAGACCTGTTACCCTTTTGGGATGTTTGACATCTGATAACTTATACCTGCATTTCGAAAATTGAATATCTGATTTTCTGTCTATTGATATTTCATTATTTTTCTACCTCTAATTAATTGGACAACCTTTATGTTTCATGTTACATATTAGTGCTATTAAGTGCTACAACACAGGGTAATCACTGTCTTGAAATTGAATAGTGTATTCACAGTGTAATGCTGTATAACACGTTAATTTCACCACATGATGTCAATAATTTCGCCGTTGAGTAGAAACTAAAAGAATTGAGTATCTTTTTCTGAATTAAAATTCATCAGTTCAATATTTGCCATGTGATGTATGGCAAAACAGTGGAAAGTAGGCACTGACATAATAGAACACTTGATACAGTAATTGAATAGTTAAGTCAGTCTTTGTAAACAGATCAAGGAGATAAGGGTGGTTTTTGTGGACAGGTGGTCTTATATTAGTTCAATTACTGTGTACTGTATTCCTTGGGAACCACAGGACAGTGGCCTTTATAGAAAGGTATTTGTTATAATACAGGTGTTCATAAAAACAATATTGACTGTACTTGTTGAATATATTGATATATTGCTTTCTGTTAGCACCAAGTGATGTTGTGAAAGTCTTTTGATATTGAAGTTATAAAATGAACTTGTTGACCTAAGTCAGTATGTCTGTATTGAGGTTACAATACAATAGAGAAAAAAAATCTGTTTACTCAATATCTGTGAGATTATGTTGATTTTTGTCATTTATAAACTGGAACCCATGATTTAAAATCTAGTGCTAAGATGTTTACTGATGGGGAACAATGACTATAATTGTTACACTAAAGGCATACTAACAAGGAATATCCCAAAAATGGAAGGGGCACTTCTTCTGGGGGTATAGTGAATGGAGGGTGGGCTTCTGGGGGTAGTGAATGGAGGGTGGGCTTCTGGGGGTATAGTGAATGGCGGGTGGGCTTCTGGGGGTAGTGAATGGAGGGTGGGCTTCTGGGGGTATAGTGAATGGAGGGTGTGCTTCTGGGGGTAGTGAATGGAGGGTGGGCTTCTGGGGGTAGTGAATGGAGGGTGGGCTTCTGGGGGTAGTGAATGGAGGGTGGGCTTCTGGGGGTAGTGAATGGAGGTTGAAATCTACTTCTTGAATACAGACTGTTGATATGTTTATACCAGAAAGGATATTTATTAGATAACAGTACACATTAGCTAGGATGGTGCACTGTGACATTGTTGAATTGACTGGAATGCACTCTGATATTCTTTATTGCACCTCGATCTAGACATTGGCTTACAACATCATTGTGTATTTGGGGCAAAACATTATAAACATAATGACGTAAAATGTATTAATGCATTATTTAGGAATATCTTTAATTTATCTTAAAATAATGGTTCCAGCTTTCATTATTTGTACTGTTTTCAATTTAAAAAGGTTTTATTATTCATTGTAATAAATTGAACATATCAAATTGTTTTTGTTTAGAAGTTTTGTAAATGTTTGTTTGTGCAAGTGTGTAAGTTGCTTTTCTAAGAGGAGCTCAAGTCCTGGATTGTTGTGCCTCATACATATATATCTGAGTCTACCACTTATATGCTAGAATCTCAGTGACACTCATGGGTGTTTGCCCTTGTACTGTCTAAACTGTGGTCTTTGAAATTAATCCGTTGGTCTCATGGACACCACTCAGGAATTATGTGAACACTTAGTGCTGTTTTTATTGTGGATTCACAAATTATTACTAGTTCTTTTTTTAGACACAGGACTTGGTTATGTCAAGTGTAATCCACTAGATTTTGTCCCAAGTTCAGTGGGAGATGTGGAAGTGCTGGATTTCTTTGTCGTATCCGGTTGTTATCTGTGTTACCTCCCCTTGTACACGACTCGGTCGCGTTGTTATGTTGTAGCAGTTATGTGTGATATATATGTTCTGAAACATGTCCATCCTTTTGTAGCTTAAAAATTGAAGTATTTGATTTATCACAATTTTGTGATTTTTCTTAATATTTTGTTTTTACTAATATTTTACTTATTTCAGCGATAGCCCTTATACAAGCCAACTTTAAGAACATGGAAAGATCAAATAAATAGTGTTCAGGGAAATGAGTAAATTATATTTGCCTGTTTATCAGATATTTTTTCAACATGAATGGTGATTTATATAATTCTTAGATAATAATTTGATATATTATTGCGAAATTATTTAGATCCCATTAAATTTTTGTATTTGTGTAACTTTGTTAGCTTTCAGAGTGCTATTAATTTTGTTTCCCGTGTAATTCTGTCTGTCATTAGAGCACCTCTATACTATAAGTTTGTTGACCAGGGCATTGTTTGATATATCCATCATTTTCTGGCAGTAGGACATCAAAATTGAGAAGCACTTTGTAAGATGTTTACAGATTTTAAATTAAGATAATGTGCCATATATTAGGGTACAGTTACACATTGAAACAGGTGCCAGGTGTTTATTGAGATACTGACTTATATTAATCCATTACAGTATATCTTAGTGCTAATTTGTGTATTTATGTGCCAAATGGAAAGTTAATGATTTAAAAGGGTCAAAATATATTCAATGTTCACAGAAAATGTGACTATTTCTATTTGATCTGCATTATTAACTTTCCTTAAGTTTGCTCTATATTGTAGAACTGTCATCAATCTGTCACACATGTTAATACTCATCTTCAACAAACCTTCGTTATACATTCAGATTAAGGTTATATTAATTTTTAAATGGAGTTCAATTATATACATGCTTACTTGAACAGATGCTTCTTTATCTAGATAAGAAGTTTGATATCAGAGTGGGATTCCTTAAAACATCCTAAGATGTTTTGTTACTTTTTCTCTCAATTGAGATTATTTATGAAGCCTTACACTCACCATTAACACATCTGTTCATTGTTTTATTAAATATCCTTCAGTTATTAACTGTTGATTTTACATTCGAGCAATACCATATTTTTTGTACCAGACTTGTCTGTTTCGATGATTATGCTGCATTCTAATTAAACTGTAAAATAAGACCTATCCTTTCAATTCCTTTTAACAAAGTTTGGTGTAAAGTACAATTTGAAATGAGTGATCTGATATTAATTAGAATGTTTTACGCTGGTAAAATACATCTGCATCAATTTTTATTGATATTTATTTGTAGGTTTTGGGGATGGGGCATATTTTGGTAGATGTTGGGGTATGGAGATATATTTTAGTATGCAGAAGAGATAAGGGTATCTTTTAGAAGACGGTAGATGTTAGGGGTTGGGGATCAGGGTTTTTGTTTTTAGATGGTATGTATTGGGGGATATATTTTGGTAGGCATTAGGGATTTGGGTATGTTTTGGAGGGCTATGGGTGTTGGGGTATGTTTTGATAGGTGTTTGGGTGTGGGGGTCATTTTTGATAGGCGGTAGGTGTTTGGGATGGAGATATGTTTTGGTAGGTGGTAGGTGGTTGGGTGTGGGGGTCATTTTTGATAGGCGGTAGGTGTTTGGGATGGAGATATGTTTTGGTAGGTGGTAGGTGGTTGGGTGTGGGGGTCATTTTTGATAGGCGGCAGATGTTTGGGATGGAGATATGTTTTGGTAGGCGAAAGGTGGTTAAGGATGGAGTATTCTTTCTTAATTGATGGGCAATAAGTATTTGGGATGGGAGTATTTTTGGTTTGGGGTTAAGACGAATGGGAATGCAGCCAGTTATTTTATGATATACCATAAAGTCTAACAGTGCAAATTTTAGATGAAAATGGGATAGCGTGTCCCACAGTGTGAAATCTGCATAAGCCAATCCCCATGGCAGGACCATAGTTTGTCGCTTTTAGGATTGAACTGTATGTTAAGATTACGTTTGTTTTACAAAAATTTACTACAATTGTATCTCTATATCTATATATATGGTGTTGTAGGATACATGTAAATATTAAACTATGCCTTTATAATGGCTTCATCAATCTGTCTTACTGTTTTACTGGCTGGAATTCTCATGTTTACAGCTGTGAGTATGTCTGATATCAGATTTCATCAATTTGTCTTACTGTTTTACTGGCTGGAATTCTCATGTTTACAGCTGTGAGTATGTCTGATATCAGATTTCATCAATCTGTCTTACTGTTTTACTGGCAGGGATGCTAGTGTTTACAACTTTCAGTATGACTAGTATAACAATTCATGAATCTGTGTTACTGTTTTACTGACTGGGAGTCTCGTGTTTACAGTTTTCAGTATGTCTGGTGTCAGACTTCGTCAAACTGTGTTACAGTTTTACTGACTGGGAGTCTCGTGTTTACAGCTTCCGGTGTGACCAGTAAAACACTTCATCAATCTGTGTTACTGTTTTATTGACTAGGAGTCTCGTGTTTACAGCTTTCAGTATGTCTGGTGTCAGATTTCATCAATCTGTGTTACAGTTTTACTGACTGGGAGTCTCGTGTTTACAGCTTTCGGTGTGACAAGTAAAACACTTCATCAATCTGTGTTACAGTTTTACTGACTGGGAGTCTCGTGTTTACAGCTTTCAGTATGTCTGGTGTCAGATTTCATCAATCTGTGTTACAGTTTTACTGACTGGGAGTCTCGTGTTTACAGCTTTCAGTATGTCTGGTGTCAGATTTCATCAATCTGTGTTACAGTTTTACTGACTGGGAGTCTCGTGTTTACAGCTTTCAGTATGTCTGGTGTCAGACTTCGTCAATCTGTGTTACAGTTTTACTGACTGGGAGTCTCGTGTTTACAGCTTTCAGTATGTCTGGTGTCAGATTTCATCAATCTGTGTTACAGTTTTCCTGACTGGGAGTCTCATGTTTACAGCTTTCAGTATGTCTGGTGTCAGACTTGGTCAATCTGTGTTACAGTTTTACTGACTGGGAGTCTCGTGTTTACAGTTTTCAGTATGTCTGGTGTTAGATTTCATCAATCTGTGTTACAGTTTTACTGACTGGGAGTCTCGTGTTTACAGCTTTCGGTGTGACAAGTAAAACACTTCATCAATCTGTGTTACTGTTTTACTGACTTGGAGTCTCGTGTTTACAGCTTTCAGTATGTCTGGTGTCAGATTTCATCAATCTGTGTGACAGTTTTACTGACTGGGAGTCTCGTGTTTACAGCTTTCGGTGTGACAAGTAAAACACTTCATCAATCTGTGTTACTGTTTTACTGACTAGGAGTCTCGTGTTTACAGCTTTCAGTATGTCTGGTGTCAGACTTCGTCAATCTGTGTTTCTGTTTTACTGACTGTGGGTCTCGTGTTTACAGTTTTCAGTATGTCTGGTGTCAGATTTCATCAATCTGTGTTACAGTTTTACTGACTGGGAGTCTCGTGTTTACAGCTTTCAGTATGTCTGGTGTTAGATTTCATCAATCTGTGTTACAGTTTTACTCAGTCTCGTGTATTCAGCTTTCGGTGTGACAAATGAAACACTTCATCAATCTGTGTTACTGTTTTACTGACTGGGAGTCTCGTGTTTACAGCTTTCAGTATGTCTGGTGTCAGATTTCATCAATCTGTGTGTTTCTGTTTTACTGTAAAACACTTCATCAATCTGTGTGTCTGACTGGGGTTTACAGCTTTCAGTATGTCTGGTGTCAGATTTCATCAATCTGTGTTACAGTTTTACTGACTGGGAGTCTCGTGTTTACAGCTTTCAGTATGTCTGGTGTTAGATTTCATCAATCTGTGTTACAGTTTTACTGACTGGGAGTCTCGTGTATTCAGCTTTCGGTGTGACAAATGAAACACTTCATCAATCTGTGTTACTGTTTTACTGACTGGGAGTCTCGTTTTACTGACTGGGAGTCTCGTGTTTACAGCTTTCAGTATGTCTAGTGTCAGACTTTGTCAATCTTTGTTACAGTTTTACTGACGGTGGGTCTCGTGTTTACAGTTTTCAGTATGTCTGGTGTCAGATTTCATCAATCTGTGTTACAGTTTTACTGACTGGGAGTCTTGTGTTTACAGCTTTCGGTGTGACAAGTAAAACACTTCATCAATCTGTGTTACTGTTTTACTGACTTGGAGTCTCGTGTTTACAGTTTTCAGTATGTCTGGTGTCAGATTTCATTAATCTGTGTTACTGTTTTACTGACTGGGAGTCTCGTGTTTACAGCTTTCGGTGTGACAAGTAAAACACTTCATCAATCTGTGTTACTGTTTTACTGACAAGAAGTCTCATGTTTACAGCTTTCAGTATGGGATTTTTGATTCCCTTGATATGATACGACTTTTAGTTTTACACAAGTACATATTCAAGCAAACATCATTAATGTCAACATAATATTATAGATTTTGGATAACATTGTACAATACAGGTTTCAGTTAGATATGTATATATGTATATAAATATATCTACAAAGAGAGAGAGAGATAGCTTAAAACAGTTTCTTTCCCAACTTTGGGATTGTCAATCTGCCAGGACAACCTTAACTGCAAATTAGATTTTTACTTCATGTTCACAAAGAGTTCTGTTTTACCTTGACCTTTGACCTTCAAAGCATGTAACGTTTCTTTTTATAATTGACGTTAAGTTCTATATGAAGACAAGTATCCTTGTGTAAAGAACAAAGTGATTGTATAATATTTACTATTGTGGTGTCAATACCTTCAAGCACATCAACAGACCTTACATTCATTAGGGGGTACTTATAATACGTTCTTTAAAAACTGCAAGTATGGATACATATGGTCAATAGATACTATGCCGTTTAGAATGCATTCCGTTACGTTCATATTAAATCGATATCGATGCGTCCACACAGAAAAAAGAGTGAAATGTCCTGCACAATGTACAGCATGCAAGTTAAAACCGGACACGATGTGGCCCTGATATGTCCGGGAAAGAAGACCAATATCTTAATTTGACTGATACTGTCGAAAGTATCATGAAAATAAGACCAGGTGTTCCAGATAGGTAAGCGTCTACTACTTCACAACACCCGCCATGCAAGTCTTGATCAATCCAAGGAAGTAACGGTCCTTTCACAGATGAGAAAAGAACGAAACCATCAGGCTTACTAGTGAGCAACAAGCACGGCAGACTTCATATAACACATGGACATGGAATCTACTTCCCAACGAAGCCAGGACGACAATTAAACTTACAACCTACATAGTCCAAAACACATTAGTGCAGAGAATCTTTCATACATGTTTAGAGTTAGTATGATTAGTTGTGCAATGGCCACAGCGTGTGTTACAGAGTTTGACATTACTTGTATAACCTAATCGGGAAAATGTCTAAAACGGACTTTATTGTGATCAAGAGTTTAATGATTAATGACAAATCAGTGTACATATTTAACTTCGGTTTTAATTTTCTAACATACAGAAAATGTTTTTGAATTGATCTTCACAATGTTGGAGGAAATAAAGATATTCATTCAATTTCTATTTAGGACTAGATACAGTAGAGCAAATATAAGGAATTAAACTGCATCATACGGTTTTGTCCTAGGTTTCGTTAGTGATGAAAAACCACCAGTGTCTACCACCTGCAATCTCGAAGACCATCTGTCAGGTTTTATCACCTTTCACAGAAATCGTCACATGGGAGAAAAATCTCTTGGACATCGAATCAAATGTGACGTGTTAAACTCTAAAAAATTAAGCAGATATAGCAGTCCTTCATAAGCGGATATAGCAGGCCATCATAAGTGAATATAGCAGTCCATCATAAGTGGATATAGCAGTCCATCATAAGCGGATATAGCAGTCCATCATAAGTGAATATAGCAGTCCTTCATAAGTGGATATAGCAGTCCATCATAAGTGGATATAGCAGTCCTTCATAAGTGGATATAGCAGTCCATCATAAGTGGATATAGCAGTCCTTCATAAGTGGATATAGCAGTCCTTCATAAGTGGATATAGCAGTCCATCATAAGTAGATATAGCAGTCCTTCATAAGTGGATATAGCAGTCCTTCATAAGTGGATATAGCAGTCCATCATAAGTGGATATAGCAGTCCTTCATAAGTGGATATAGCAGTCCTTCATAAGTGGATATAGCAGTCCATCATAAGTAGATATAGCAGTCCTTCGTAAGTAGATATAGCAGTCCTTCGTAAGTAGATATAGCAGTCCTTCGTAAGTGGATATAGCAGTCCTTCATAAGTGGATATAGCAGTCCATCATAAGTGGATATAGCAGTCCTTCATAAGTGGATATAGCAGTCCTTCATAAGTGGATATAGCAGTCCATCATAAGTGGATATAGCAGTCCTTCATTAGTGGATATAGCAGTCCTTCATAAGTGGATATAGCAGTCCTTCATAAGTGGATATATCAGTCCTTCATAAGTGGATATAGCAGTCCTTCATAAGTGGATATAGCAGTCCTTCATAAGTGGATATAGCAGTCCTTCATAAGTGGATATAGCAGTCCTTCATTAGTGGATATAGCAGTCCATCATAAGTAGATATAGATATATAGCAGTCCTTCATGTTCCTGATTCAGACGGTACAGTTTATGGACATGATCAATATACATTTCTTGTTACATGTATATATAGGTATGACGTCACCAGTAAACATGTACATCAAATGAAATTGAAAAGGCTTACAAAGGTCCGCTTTATTAAGGTCTTGTATAAATACAACCTCGTGTATGAAAATAAAAGCAGGTCGGTAGACTACATGAAAATTATGTTAATGTACCCTCTACATACCGAAGTATATTTCTTTTGGCTATAGACATACTCTACATGAAAAGTATATACTAATCGTACCATCTACATACCGAAGTAGTAGACTGCTGTGCATGTTTACCGCCGGTCACATTTCTCTGAAAAGGAAGTTCTCGGAGAATGAATGAAATGTATATTTTTCATTGTATTAGAAGAAATGTTTTTCAGGCGATGGGGTTCACGATTGATAAAACTGCATTAGAGTGTTTTACAATCCACATTATATTTATTCCACTTGTCCAATATGATATAATATAAAAGTGGAAGGTCCATATC